CGACGGCGCTTCTACCCCCCCCCCCCCCCCCGGATGGAATTCCCCCGATTTCCACCACTTAAGGCCGATGGACCCACCTCCATTGACCACCACCGCGGCTTCCCCGCCGCGAAGCGTCTACCTGTGATATGCCTTCGGGGAGGATACGCGCCTATATAACTACGGCGTTCCGGTGATTGAACGAAGTAAGCTAAGTTTTCCTGCGCCCAGGAAACAGGAGGCACGCGCCCGAGCCCGACGGGCGGCATTGCGAGAAATATGAGGATTCGCCCGGGATGCGCGGTCAGTTGTTGCACCTCATTTTTTCTTTCTTATCACAATTTTTACGATGTAAAGTTTGCCGTGCGTTTCGCGTTCACACAAGAAAAATCCTTCAACTTGTCGTCATCTCGCGCGTCGCGTCGATCTTTCGATTTAAAAAGAAAAAAAAATACAATATTGAATTTTTTTTTTTTTTTTTTTTTTTTTTGGAGTGCTCTAATTCGAGTTTAAAAAGTCGTGTCTATTTCACGAAGCGTTTCCTCGCGTTTTTGTGTGTTTATATCGAATTGCAAATAGGCAGTGTCTCTGGCGAACGCCGTCGTTTTCGATCGGATGCATTCGATTCTCTCGTTGACCGCACCACGAGTCGGAGAAATATTTTTATTTTATAAGCATGCGTCAATACTTTGATTGTTGATTTCTTTGGATTTATCACTTTGTAAACTTTATTTATAGGCTGTATTAGCGCTGCTACTGCAGGCCGCTCTTGTGGCGAGCAAAGCTGTAGATCAAACGCAACATCCGCAACGTCAAACTCCGTATGTATATGATGAGTTATTTTAGTAATAAAGAAATAACAACCGTTTACTTCGAGCGTTATACAAAATGTTTGATAATAAACGGTATATATATGATGTACGTGACAAAATTTAATTTTAATCTATAAAGAGTCGCAAGATATTAGCAGTCACTGTAATAATAATGCATTTAAAAATATTTTTCTTTTCATTCTTGCATTTACGTATTTTGTATTTTATTTAAATTTCTCTATATTTTATTTTGATAATTATTGAAGTAATGTAGAAAAATCTGACCGTTTACAATGTGTAATAATTGTTGTATATTTTTATCTTGTTAGTCGATAATTTCAAGGAACTTTTCTACATATTTTAAAGAAAGAAGATTGAAAAATATATATAATGAGTCCAAATTTATGTTCTAGATTTATTCTGTTTAATCGCGCGATGTTATTGATTATTTTAGATACGTTAAAAAGGCTCAAAAACGATGGGGAGGCGATTCTGGTGGCGATTACGGCAATCTTGGAGGTGGTGACATTGGTGGTCACTTTGGTGGCGGTGATGCAGGCGGCCACTTTGGTGGCGGTGATGCCGGCGGCCACTTTGGTGGCGGTGATGCCGGCGGTCACTTTGGTGGCGGTGACATTGGAGGTCATTTGGACAACGGTAATATCGGCGGTCATGGAGGTGATATCGGTGGTCACTTGAATATCGGGGGTGGTATTGGTCCAAGTGGCGGTGACATCGGCGGCGGTGGTATCGAGGCGCATCACGGAGGCGACTCCCACGACCATCATCATCACGATGAGGGCTATTGGAAAAAAAAATTAGTGTGGAAGCCGGGTTGGAAGAAAATCTGGAAACCGGCGAAAAAGCAGATCTGGAAGCCCGCGTGGAAGAAGATCTGGAAACCTATCTGGGTGCCGACGCAAAAAGCGGTGTGGAAGGAGATTCAAGTACCAGCCTGGAAGAAGATCTGGAAGCCCGTGTGGAAAGAGATTCAAGTGCCGGTGTGGAAGGAAATAAAAGTGCCAGCTTGGAAACAAATTTGGAAGCCAATTTGGCAACCAATCAAGGTACCCGCTTGGAAGGAGATTCAAGTACCGGCGTGGAAAAAGATCTGGAAGCCAGTGTGGAAAGAGATTCAGGTACCGGCGTGGAAAGAGTTTCAAGTACCTGCTTGGAAGAAACTTTGGGTCCCCGAATGGGTAAAAATTGGCATACCGGGTAATCACTATCACGGCACTGATCATCATGGATGGCAGTATACCAGCCACGATCTCTGGAAAAAGAAGTTGATTTGGAAGCCGGTGTGGAAAAAATACTGGAAATCGGTGAAAAAGCAAATTTGGATACCGGATAAGAAACTCGAGTGGAAGGAGGCCTGGAAGCAGATATGGAAACCAGCGAAGAAGCAGATCTGGGTAGAAGACAAGAAGCTGGCTTGGAAGGCAGAGTGGATACAAATTTGGAAGCCAGGCAAGAAACTTGTCTGGGTTCCTGATAAGAAGCTGGAGTGGAAGGAAGCTTGGAAACAGATCTGGAAAACCGACAAAAAACTGGAATGGATACCTGATAAGAAGCTCGCCTGGAAGGAAGCGTGGAAGCAGATCTGGGTGCCCGCTTGGAAGGAAATCTGGGTACCAGCATGGAAGAAGATTTGGAAACCAGTTTGGATATCCGAATGGTTCCCCAACGAGGACCACCATCATCACCACGGTTGGGATCGCAAGGACACGCAGACGCAGAATACGCAAGTTGTACCTTACAGTCCGGAAGCCGCTCAGCAGAAGAGGCAAGCGCAGCAGCAGCAACAACAGCCACAACAACAGCCACAACAACAGCAACAGCAAACTTTGGTGGCGGTGATGCCGGCGGCCACTTTGGTGGCGGTGATGCCGGCGGCCACTTTGGTGGCGGTGATGCCGGCGGCCACTTTGGTGGCGGTGATGCCGGCGGCCACTTTGGTGGCGGTGATGCCGGCGGCCACTTTGGTGGCGGTGATGCCGGCGGCCACTTTGGTGGCGGTGATGCCGGCGGCCACTTTGGTGGCGGTGATGCCGGCGGCCACTTTGGTGGCGGTGATGCCGGCGGCCACTTTGGTGGCGGTGATGCCGGCGGCCACTTTGGTGGCGGTGATGCCGGCGGCCACTTTGGTGGCGGTGATGCCGGCGGCCACTTTGGTGGCGGTGATGCCGGCGGCCACTTTGGTGGCGGTGATGCCGGCGGCCACTTTGGTGGCGGTGATGCCGGCGGCCACTTTGGTGGCGGTGATGCCGGCGGCCACTTTGGTGGCGGTGATGCCGGCGGCCACTTTGGTGGCGGTGATGCCGGCGGCCACTTTGGTGGCGGTGATGCCGGCGGCCACTTTGGTGGCGGTGATGCCGGCGGCCACTTTGGTGGCGGTGATGCCGGCGGCCACTTTGGTGGCGGTGATGCCGGCGGCCACTTTGGTGGCGGTGATGCCGGCGGCCACTTTGGTGGCGGTGATGCCGGCGGCCACTTTGGTGGCGGTGATGCCGGCGGCCACTTTGGTGGCGGTGATGCCGGCGGCCACTTTGGTGGCGGTGATGCCGGCGGCCACTTTGGTGGCGGTGATGCCGGCGGCCACTTTGGTGGCGGTGATGCCGGCGGCCACTTTGGTGGCGGTGATGCCGGCGGCCACTTTGGTGGCGGTGATGCCGGCGGCCACTTTGGTGGCGGTGATGCCGGCGGCCACTTTGGTGGCGGTGATGCCGGCGGCCACTTTGGTGGCGGTGATGCCGGCGGCCACTTTGGTGGCGGTGATGCCGGCGGCCACTTTGGTGGCGGTGATGCCGGCGGCCACTTTGGTGGCGGTGATGCCGGCGGCCACTTTGGTGGCGGTGATGCCGGCGGCCACTTTGGTGGCGGTGATGCCGGCGGCCACTTTGGTGGCGGTGATGCCGGCGGCCACTTTGGTGGCGGTGATGCCGGCGGCCACTTTGGTGGCGGTGATGCCGGCGGCCACTTTGGTGGCGGTGATGCCGGCGGCCACTTTGGTGGCGGTGATGCCGGCGGCCACTTTGGTGGCGGTGATGCCGGCGGCCACTTTGGTGGCGGTGATGCCGGCGGCCACTTTGGTGGCGGTGATGCCGGCGGCCACTTTGGTGGCGGTGATGCCGGCGGCCACTTTGGTGGCGGTGATGCCGGCGGCCACTTTGGTGGCGGTGATGCCGGCGGCCACTTTGGTGGCGGTGATGCCGGCGGCCACTTTGGTGGCGGTGATGCCGGCGGCCACTTTGGTGGCGGTGATGCCGGCGGCCACTTTGGTGGCGGTGATGCCGGCGGCCACTTTGGTGGCGGTGATGCCGGCGGCCACTTTGGTGGCGGTGATGCCGGCGGCCACTTTGGTGGCGGTGATGCCGGCGGCCACTTTGGTGGCGGTGATGCCGGCGGCCACTTTGGTGGCGGTGATGCCGGCGGCCACTTTGGTGGCGGTGATGCCGGCGGCCACTTTGGTGGCGGTGATGCCGGCGGCCACTTTGGTGGCGGTGATGCCGGCGGCCACTTTGGTGGCGGTGATGCCGGCGGCCACTTTGGTGGCGGTGATGCCGGCGGCCACTTTGGTGGCGGTGATGCCGGCGGCCACTTTGGTGGCGGTGATGCCGGCGGCCACTTTGGTGGCGGTGATGCCGGCGGCCACTTTGGTGGCGGTGATGCCGGCGGCCACTTTGGTGGCGGTGATGCCGGCGGCCACTTTGGTGGCGGTGATGCCGGCGGCCACTTTGGTGGCGGTGATGCCGGCGGCCACTTTGGTGGCGGTGATGCCGGCGGCCACTTTGGTGGCGGTGATGCCGGCGGCCACTTTGGTGGCGGTGATGCCGGCGGCCACTTTGGTGGCGGTGATGCCGGCGGCCACTTTGGTGGCGGTGATGCCGGCGGCCACTTTGGTGGCGGTGATGCCGGCGGCCACTTTGGTGGCGGTGATGCCGGCGGCCACTTTGGTGGCGGTGATGCCGGCGGCCACTTTGGTGGCGGTGATGCCGGCGGCCACTTTGGTGGCGGTGATGCCGGCGGCCACTTTGGTGGCGGTGATGCCGGCGGCCACTTTGGTGGCGGTGATGCCGGCGGCCACTTTGGTGGCGGTGATGCCGGCGGCCACTTTGGTGGCGGTGATGCCGGCGGCCACTTTGGTGGCGGTGATGCCGGCGGCCACTTTGGTGGCGGTGATGCCGGCGGCCACTTTGGTGGCGGTGATGCCGGCGGCCACTTTGGTGGCGGTGATGCCGGCGGCCACTTTGGTGGCGGTGATGCCGGCGGCCACTTTGGTGGCGGTGATGCCGGCGGCCACTTTGGTGGCGGTGATGCCGGCGGCCACTTTGGTGGCGGTGATGCCGGCGGCCACTTTGGTGGCGGTGATGCCGGCGGCCACTTTGGTGGCGGTGATGCCGGCGGCCACTTTGGTGGCGGTGATGCCGGCGGCCACTTTGGTGGCGGTGATGCCGGCGGCCACTTTGGTGGCGGTGATGCCGGCGGCCACTTTGGTGGCGGTGATGCCGGCGGCCACTTTGGTGGCGGTGATGCCGGCGGCCACTTTGGTGGCGGTGATGCCGGCGGCCACTTTGGTGGCGGTGATGCCGGCGGCCACTTTGGTGGCGGTGATGCCGGCGGCCACTTTGGTGGCGGTGATGCCGGCGGCCACTTTGGTGGCGGTGATGCCGGCGGCCACTTTGGTGGCGGTGATGCCGGCGGCCACTTTGGTGGCGGTGATGCCGGCGGCCACTTTGGTGGCGGTGATGCCGGCGGCCACTTTGGTGGCGGTGATGCCGGCGGCCACTTTGGTGGCGGTGATGCCGGCGGCCACTTTGGTGGCGGTGATGCCGGCGGCCACTTTGGTGGCGGTGATGCCGGCGGCCACTTTGGTGGCGGTGATGCCGGCGGCCACTTTGGTGGCGGTGATGCCGGCGGCCACTTTGGTGGCGGTGATGCCGGCGGCCACTTTGGTGGCGGTGATGCCGGCGGCCACTTTGGTGGCGGTGATGCCGGCGGCCACTTTGGTGGCGGTGATGCCGGCGGCCACTTTGGTGGCGGTGATGCCGGCGGCCACTTTGGTGGCGGTGATGCCGGCGGCCACTTTGGTGGCGGTGATGCCGGCGGCCACTTTGGTGGCGGTGATGCCGGCGGCCACTTTGGTGGCGGTGATGCCGGCGGCCACTTTGGTGGCGGTGATGCCGGCGGCCACTTTGGTGGCGGTGATGCCGGCGGCCACTTTGGTGGCGGTGATGCCGGCGGCCACTTTGGTGGCGGTGATGCCGGCGGCCACTTTGGTGGCGGTGATGCCGGCGGCCACTTTGGTGGCGGTGATGCCGGCGGCCACTTTGGTGGCGGTGATGCCGGCGGCCACTTTGGTGGCGGTGATGCCGGCGGCCACTTTGGTGGCGGTGATGCCGGCGGCCACTTTGGTGGCGGTGATGCCGGCGGCCACTTTGGTGGCGGTGATGCCGGCGGCCACTTTGGTGGCGGTGATGCCGGCGGCCACTTTGGTGGCGGTGATGCCGGCGGCCACTTTGGTGGCGGTGATGCCGGCGGCCACTTTGGTGGCGGTGATGCCGGCGGCCACTTTGGTGGCGGTGATGCCGGCGGCCACTTTGGTGGCGGTGATGCCGGCGGCCACTTTGGTGGCGGTGATGCCGGCGGCCACTTTGGTGGCGGTGATGCCGGCGGCCACTTTGGTGGCGGTGATGCCGGCGGCCACTTTGGTGGCGGTGATGCCGGCGGCCACTTTGGTGGCGGTGATGCCGGCGGCCACTTTGGTGGCGGTGATGCCGGCGGCCACTTTGGTGGCGGTGATGCCGGCGGCCACTTTGGTGGCGGTGATGCCGGCGGCCACTTTGGTGGCGGTGATGCCGGCGGCCACTTTGGTGGCGGTGATGCCGGCGGCCACTTTGGTGGCGGTGATGCCGGCGGCCACTTTGGTGGCGGTGATGCCGGCGGCCACTTTGGTGGCGGTGATGCCGGCGGCCACTTTGGTGGCGGTGATGCCGGCGGCCACTTTGGTGGCGGTGATGCCGGCGGCCACTTTGGTGGCGGTGATGCCGGCGGCCACTTTGGTGGCGGTGATGCCGGCGGCCACTTTGGTGGCGGTGATGCCGGCGGCCACTTTGGTGGCGGTGATGCCGGCGGCCACTTTGGTGGCGGTGATGCCGGCGGCCACTTTGGTGGCGGTGATGCCGGCGGCCACTTTGGTGGCGGTGATGCCGGCGGCCACTTTGGTGGCGGTGATGCCGGCGGCCACTTTGGTGGCGGTGATGCCGGCGGCCACTTTGGTGGCGGTGATGCCGGCGGCCACTTTGGTGGCGGTGATGCCGGCGGCCACTTTGGTGGCGGTGATGCCGGCGGCCACTTTGGTGGCGGTGATGCCGGCGGCCACTTTGGTGGCGGTGATGCCGGCGGCCACTTTGGTGGCGGTGATGCCGGCGGCCACTTTGGTGGCGGTGATGCCGGCGGCCACTTTGGTGGCGGTGATGCCGGCGGCCACTTTGGTGGCGGTGATGCCGGCGGCCACTTTGGTGGCGGTGATGCCGGCGGCCACTTTGGTGGCGGTGATGCCGGCGGCCACTTTGGTGGCGGTGATGCCGGCGGCCACTTTGGTGGCGGTGATGCCGGCGGCCACTTTGGTGGCGGTGATGCCGGCGGCCACTTTGGTGGCGGTGATGCCGGCGGCCACTTTGGTGGCGGTGATGCCGGCGGCCACTTTGGTGGCGGTGATGCCGGCGGCCACTTTGGTGGCGGTGATGCCGGCGGCCACTTTGGTGGCGGTGATGCCGGCGGCCACTTTGGTGGCGGTGATGCCGGCGGCCACTTTGGTGGCGGTGATGCCGGCGGCCACTTTGGTGGCGGTGATGCCGGCGGCCACTTTGGTGGCGGTGATGCCGGCGGCCACTTTGGTGGCGGTGATGCCGGCGGCCACTTTGGTGGCGGTGATGCCGGCGGCCACTTTGGTGGCGGTGATGCCGGCGGCCACTTTGGTGGCGGTGATGCCGGCGGCCACTTTGGTGGCGGTGATGCCGGCGGCCACTTTGGTGGCGGTGATGCCGGCGGCCACTTTGGTGGCGGTGATGCCGGCGGCCACTTTGGTGGCGGTGATGCCGGCGGCCACTTTGGTGGCGGTGATGCCGGCGGCCACTTTGGTGGCGGTGATGCCGGCGGCCACTTTGGTGGCGGTGATGCCGGCGGCCACTTTGGTGGCGGTGATGCCGGCGGCCACTTTGGTGGCGGTGATGCCGGCGGCCACTTTGGTGGCGGTGATGCCGGCGGCCACTTTGGTGGCGGTGATGCCGGCGGCCACTTTGGTGGCGGTGATGCCGGCGGCCACTTTGGTGGCGGTGATGCCGGCGGCCACTTTGGTGGCGGTGATGCCGGCGGCCACTTTGGTGGCGGTGATGCCGGCGGCCACTTTGGTGGCGGTGATGCCGGCGGCCACTTTGGTGGCGGTGATGCCGGCGGCCACTTTGGTGGCGGTGATGCCGGCGGCCACTTTGGTGGCGGTGATGCCGGCGGCCACTTTGGTGGCGGTGATGCCGGCGGCCACTTTGGTGGCGGTGATGCCGGCGGCCACTTTGGTGGCGGTGATGCCGGCGGCCACTTTGGTGGCGGTGATGCCGGCGGCCACTTTGGTGGCGGTGATGCCGGCGGCCACTTTGGTGGCGGTGATGCCGGCGGCCACTTTGGTGGCGGTGATGCCGGCGGCCACTTTGGTGGCGGTGATGCCGGCGGCCACTTTGGTGGCGGTGATGCCGGCGGCCACTTTGGTGGCGGTGATGCCGGCGGCCACTTTGGTGGCGGTGATGCCGGCGGCCACTTTGGTGGCGGTGATGCCGGCGGCCACTTTGGTGGCGGTGATGCCGGCGGCCACTTTGGTGGCGGTGATGCCGGCGGCCACTTTGGTGGCGGTGATGCCGGCGGCCACTTTGGTGGCGGTGATGCCGGCGGCCACTTTGGTGGCGGTGATGCCGGCGGCCACTTTGGTGGCGGTGATGCCGGCGGCCACTTTGGTGGCGGTGATGCCGGCGGCCACTTTGGTGGCGGTGATGCCGGCGGCCACTTTGGTGGCGGTGATGCCGGCGGCCACTTTGGTGGCGGTGATGCCGGCGGCCACTTTGGTGGCGGTGATGCCGGCGGCCACTTTGGTGGCGGTGATGCCGGCGGCCACTTTGGTGGCGGTGATGCCGGCGGCCACTTTGGTGGCGGTGATGCCGGCGGCCACTTTGGTGGCGGTGATGCCGGCGGCCACTTTGGTGGCGGTGATGCCGGCGGCCACTTTGGTGGCGGTGATGCCGGCGGCCACTTTGGTGGCGGTGATGCCGGCGGCCACTTTGGTGGCGGTGATGCCGGCGGCCACTTTGGTGGCGGTGATGCCGGCGGCCACTTTGGTGGCGGTGATGCCGGCGGCCACTTTGGTGGCGGTGATGCCGGCGGCCACTTTGGTGGCGGTGATGCCGGCGGCCACTTTGGTGGCGGTGATGCCGGCGGCCACTTTGGTGGCGGTGATGCCGGCGGTCACTTTGGTGGCGGTGACATTGGAGGTCATTTGGACAACGGTAATATCGGCGGTCATGGAGGTGATATCGGTGGTCACTTGAATATCGGGGGTGGTATTGGTCCAAGTGGCGGTGACATCGGCGGCGGTGGTATCGAGGCGCATCACGGAGGCGACTCCCACGACCATCATCATCACGATGAGGGCTATTGGAAAAAAAAATTAGTGTGGAAGCCGGGTTGGAAGAAAATCTGGAAACCGGCGAAAAAGCAGATCTGGAAGCCCGCGTGGAAGAAGATCTGGAAACCTATCTGGGTGCCGACGCAAAAAGCGGTGTGGAAGGAGATTCAAGTACCAGCCTGGAAGAAGATCTGGAAGCCCGTGTGGAAAGAGATTCAAGTGCCGGTGTGGAAGGAAATAAAAGTGCCAGCTTGGAAACAAATTTGGAAGCCAATTTGGCAACCAATCAAGGTACCCGCTTGGAAGGAGATTCAAGTACCGGCGTGGAAAAAGATCTGGAAGCCAGTGTGGAAAGAGATTCAGGTACCGGCGTGGAAAGAGTTTCAAGTACCTGCTTGGAAGAAACTTTGGGTCCCCGAATGGGTAAAAATTGGCATACCGGGTAATCACTATCACGGCACTGATCATCATGGATGGCAGTATACCAGCCACGATCTCTGGAAAAAGAAGTTGATTTGGAAGCCGGTGTGGAAAAAATACTGGAAATCGGTGAAAAAGCAAATTTGGATACCGGATAAGAAACTCGAGTGGAAGGAGGCCTGGAAGCAGATATGGAAACCAGCGAAGAAGCAGATCTGGGTAGAAGACAAGAAGCTGGCTTGGAAGGCAGAGTGGATACAAATTTGGAAGCCAGGCAAGAAACTTGTCTGGGTTCCTGATAAGAAGCTGGAGTGGAAGGAAGCTTGGAAACAGATCTGGAAAACCGACAAAAAACTGGAATGGATACCTGATAAGAAGCTCGCCTGGAAGGAAGCGTGGAAGCAGATCTGGGTGCCCGCTTGGAAGGAAATCTGGGTACCAGCATGGAAGAAGATTTGGAAACCAGTTTGGATATCCGAATGGTTCCCCAACGAGGACCACCATCATCACCACGGTTGGGATCGCAAGGACACGCAGACGCAGAATACGCAAGTTGTACCTTACAGTCCGGAAGCCGCTCAGCAGAAGAGGCAAGCGCAGCAGCAGCAACAACAGCCACAACAACAGCCACAACAACAGCAACAGCAAGTGAAAAAGCAAATTTGGATACCGGATAAGAAACTCGAGTGGAAGGAGGCCTGGAAGCAGATATGGAAACCAGCGAAGAAGCAGATCTGGGTAGAAGACAAGAAGCTGGCTTGGAAGGCAGAGTGGATACAAATTTGGAAGCCAGGCAAGAAACTTGTCTGGGTTCCTGATAAGAAGCTGGAGTGGAAGGAAGCTTGGAAACAGATCTGGAAAACCGACAAAAAACTGGAATGGATACCTGATAAGAAGCTCGCCTGGAAGGAAGCGTGGAAGCAGATCTGGGTGCCCGCTTGGAAGGAAATCTGGGTACCAGCATGGAAGAAGATTTGGAAACCAGTTTGGATATCCGAATGGTTCCCCAACGAGGACCACCATCATCACCACGGTTGGGATCGCAAGGACACGCAGACGCAGAATACGCAAGTTGTACCTTACAGTCCGGAAGCCGCTCAGCAGAAGAGGCAAGCGCAGAAGCAGCAACAACAGCCACAACAACAGCCACAACAACAGCCACAACAACAGCAACAGCAACAGCAAGTGCAGCAACCTCAAACAGACGCTAACAAAATCAAATGGGACAGATCTTTTCAAGCAAATCCGCCGACGGTTTCGCAGCACCTGGTACCACCGCCAGCTAATCAAAACGGAGGTCAAGCCGGCTTCACGTTTCCCGGCCGCTAAGATGAAGCTGGATTGAACTTCGTGTAAAATAATCTTGCACTGTAATCCCTGAAAATGCTTGTACAAACGTCTCTATGAGAAAGTACTGTAACATAAGTCGCTGTATATATTACGTTTTAGGAAAGATTAAGATAAGTTGCTTTAAGTTACCCGAAATTGTTCGACTGATTGTGTACTCGCTGCTCTTCGGAGTATCACTCTTTGATGCTTTATAACCCTTATCTTTTCCCTTTCCTTGTTTTCTTTTTATACTCACGTTGTTATCATTCCAATTGTTAATTCTAATAGTGTTATGAATAAAGTTTATAAATATTTTGTTAATTTTTTGCCTATCATTATCTCTCATTTTCAGCATTTCCTCATTCCATAATATACTTTTATTTGACTTCATAATAAGAACAGATTAAATTAAATATACAGATCGCAAATCATGCAACAAATCATTTTTTATATATGAATTTTTTGAATTAAAAATCAATATATTTTCAGCGAAAATGTCAAAGAAAGTCAGTTATAATAAATCTTCAATCTGAAACTGAGCGTTCTTTCAACGGAGAAAATTTTTAAGATGCACATTGCGTTTAGTAAATATACAATCGCACATTCCTCGTCTAGCAAGCGTATATAATTAGTATAATTTACTTTTAGATTTAAACAAATCACATTCACTTTCTAACAGTCGATTACTCGGTTATTTTGTTCGTTGAAAACACTTGAAATGAACAATAAGATTTATTTGTGTGAACCGTTTATTTTTGTATCGTCATCAATTATTTTTTAAATTTTGGGTAGTAAAATATATTTAAATTTACGATATTTCTATGGATCTCTGAAAGAATGCACAATCAATTATTAAATTGAAAGAAACATCGGTAATATGTCTTGCACAAGCTTAATCCTATCATTTTATATAATTTTATTATTTCTATGCGTTTTAGAAAAGAGACTGAATTTCTTTCAAGCGAGAATGATAAATTGAGCTGTAAAAAGCAAAGCTAGAAATATTTTACTCAGAAGAAAGCAAATATAATATCTGTCTGTTGTAAATTGTGTACAGTTTATGAACTAAGAAAAGAAAGAAAGAGAATCAAAATAATGGTAGCTAAGCTTTGAAGTGATATGATAATATGACAGATTTATAATACAAATTCTATTTATCAAAGAAAGATATGCTACGCATTGTAATGCAACAAAGTAAATGTTGAATAAGATGACAGATTAATCTATTATTTCCGATGTACATATATTCAAGATTTAATCATATTAATTATAATTATAATTAAGAAATACAATCGATCTGAAAAAAAATTTTTATATTTTTTACATTTTATATAAAATTTTAGTAAATTTTATACAAAAAGCATGGTCAACAAAATGTATAATAATTTACGAGTCTACTAAAATTTCAATTTATAAATACATGTTATATATTTATATATTATGCCTTATTTTTTTATTCTAATTTTTTTATTCCAGTAATATCAGAGATGATAAACTCTATTCGAATCCCGTACTGTTCCAATTTTGTAACAACTATTTTCTTAAAAATAGACACACGTTCCGATGAAAGATAGTACGTCTAAATGGTCATCTAATTTCAAAGTGAATCGCCTGTCACGTTCTGAACTTGCGGCGAAGATGATGCAACGCAAATACGCGCACGTATCCCTGCGAAATTGGAGAAAGTGGAGTCTGTTATGGAAGGCAGGTGACCAGCATGTAGAGGACCTCGACTGTGGAGAAAGTATCGGTGCACCCACACAGCAACATAAATTAATCCATGCCACCATACTGCCCGTCTCGATAGGCTAACAACGAGTATTGCTCGACGCAGATTCCCATTCAATTGATGACGATGACGACGAGGACGAGGACGGTGCGATTTCACTGGCGCCAACTACGGAAGAGTGGATTTTTTTCTTAGTACGATTGTACGTAGGAAAATAGAATTAGAGAAATCATGATACGTACATTTTTTTCTGACATGACACAAGACCGGGATACAGGAAACATTTTCACTTTTGTCTCACGTTTACTTTCATTTAACTACGCATAGATGAGTCTTATCCGAAAACTATATAATTTCTTCTTTTCATCTTTTTGTTTTATAAAAATTTTATCTTGCGAAACCTATTCTTAGAAATATTCAAATTTACACAATATTATATACCTATATATATATGGTATCGATATTTTATATATATATATATTTAAAATATTGATACCATAATATTATTTTTATACTTAATAATTTTGTATGCAATATACATATATATAACGAAGCACTCTTCTTTATAATCTGTTGCTGTTCTCTTGTTACAGTTTACTACCACTTTTCTTGCCCGATTTTTCTCGGAAGCGATTACTCAATGACAAACAGCTAGATAAACAAGTATTATTCCAAAGTAATTCCACTTAGGAAATTTCTTTTCTACGCTGTTTCTGTATACAAGGATAGCGCATTCGTGTGTAAATTATGATCTGTGAGCTGTGACCGATTATCGTGATAATAGTTATTTTACAACACAATAGACGATTTCTAGACTCTCTTTCGTATACGTTTCTCACGATGTAAAGCAATATATAATATCACCTAACTCAATTTTTGTGTGAAATTACGATTGTGAATGTTGCGAGTAAGTTTATTATACTTGAATAAAAGCACATTTCTATTTGTAACTATTTATTTGTAGCAAAAAATAATGGGAAAAGGATTTGATTGATTCTTAATCCCACAAATATAGTAACATATTTTTAATCTTGTCTTTTTTTGATACAATTGTTATAAAAAAATGATAATTAATATTTTTAATTTCTAACTAATATTCACGTTTAATTTGAAATTTTTAATAATCTTTTTCATTTTATAACAAATAACATAATTTAAAATAATATTTTGCGTTTATATATAATATAATACAAGTATAATAAATTCTCATGCAATTTCATTCAATTTCGCAAAGAAAGTTATTGTACAAATAGATCTCTTGAAAAATCATAGTTTTGCAACTACGATATTTTTCCACACAATCTTAGTTAAAATACAAAAAAAGTAATAATTCTCAGATATTATACGTCATATATAATAGCTTTCACACGCAACAGCATGCCTTTCAAAACGTTATTCGAAGCTAAAAAGATATTTTTGTTCGTAGGGGCCATGGGATGTCACGTAGATAATATCAGCAGCGTACACACATACACACCCACACACATATATATCGTATGTATAGCATACCTATATACATAGGTACGTATACCTATATATAGCACATGCTCATATAAGTACCACTGCAGAAGATACGAAGTGTGAAGTATCTCAGTGTATCTAAAGATGTTATACCTAACGATCTTTCTAATTCTTTTTATATTCGTTTGCCTCTATTATCTCTGCGATGTCAAGCCAACAAATTTTCCACCTGGTATGCAAAACAAGTCAACAAATTCACGAAGATACAATTCCTCGAAAATCCGGTGTCTTAAATAAAGTGTTTAATCTGAATATCTCTGATAATCTTTACATAATTTTAATGTCTATAGATGTGTCTATAGATTTATTGTATATTTCTCAACACTCATAAATATAATAGATAGACTAAAGCGAGTCTTATATTCATCATATGTTTATATAGCATTCTTAATTTATCAATATATTAACTATACAGGTCCGGCGTGGCTACCATTCTTGGGATGTTACCTGACGTTTTCGCGATTACGTTCAAAATGTGAATACGACCATATAGCTCTGCAAGAACTGGCAGGTACATATGGGCCGATATTAGGATTAAAATTGGGAAATCAAAAGGTGGTGGTAATCTCGACGTACGACCTGGTGAAGAAAACTCTTCGTCGTAATGAGTTTAATAGCCGACCGGACGGATTTTTCTTCAGGGTACGATCGTTTGGGAAGAGAAAAGGTACGTCAACAAAATCTGAAAAATTAATTCCATTGTCTTGATTAGCATATAAATTGTATCTCTCTCATTCTCTCGCGCAGGTCTTTTGTTCAGCGACGGTATCACTTGGTTGCAGACTCGTAGATTTACGACGCGACACCTGCGAACATTCGGCATAGGTCAGTCGGCTATGAAAAATCAATTGATTATCGAGGCTCGAGAGCTCATTAATCATCTGCAAGAGATAAGCGAGCATGGCGCGGTGTCGATGGACAGGGCGTTCGACGTTGCGGTGCTCAATTCGTTATGGTTTATGATTGCCGGACACACATTCCGCTACGAGGATGAAAAACTGCAACAAGCGCTCGAGGTCACTCACGATGCCTTCAGGTAAAGGCTGATAAAAAGCTTGCAAGTAGAATTTAATAAAATAGTATGAATATTATTTTCGATATTGTACGACACGATAAATTCGTATTTTTATATATATTATAATATATAATAATATATTAATATTTTTTTTATATATAATGTGTATATTCTATTTTAATCTAAATTTCGAAATATATATACTTGGTGTTACACAGATTAATGGACACCCTGGGAGGAGTGATATCGCAGATGCCTTTTTTACGATTCATTATCCCAGAATTATCGGGATATAATAAATTGATGAAGATCCTTAAAAATCTCTGGAGCTTTATCGACAACGAGATCAAGATGCACGAGAACGAACCGTCCGATAATCAGCCGCGCGATCTTATTGACGCGTTTCTCTCGGAGATGTCGAACAAGAATGGCGATGAAGATACTATTTTCGATCGTGAGTAATTTTCGCGACATTTTCCTGATCCAGGAGGATAAAAATATTTGATTAATCGATTAATTTCAATTGCGTCAAAAAACATTTCGCAGAATGACATTTGTTCGAAATCATTTCAAGTATTTTCACAAGATAACAATAATGGAGATTTTAGATATAAATCGATACGCGCGCGACTGGATTAAATATCTTCCTTTTCCTGAATTGAATAAAAGTTTGATTTTTGATTGACGCGTATTTCATCCCGCAGGTGAGACGTTATTGGTATTATGCTTTGATCTCTTTTTGGCCGGATCGAAGACGACCATCGATTCTTTAGCGACCGCGTTTCTTTTTCTGTCGCTAAATCCTGAATGGTTGAAGAAACTTCAAGCTGATTTAGACAGAGTCGTCGGCAGATCGAGAGCTCCTACCGAGGACGATTTGCCGTCCTTACCAATGATAGAAGCTTTCTTAGCCGAGGTAACTGATTGATATGAAATTGATAAATTTATGAGATAAAAAAAAATGGAACATCTAATTATCATTATCGCAAATAAAGAGAATAGTATATACATAACTGAGGAAATATATAAGTACAACGATATTGATCTTTTTATATAATTACGATGTGTATAAATGGTATATGTGTACATATCAAATAAATATACATATATCTATATTTATATAGATACAAAGATATTTAATTTTGGCACCACTCGGCGTACCTCACAGGACCTCAGAGGATGTTTTCGTAAACGGATATCGAATACCTAAGGTAATGGATCTTATTTTCTGTTATAAGTAATACGAATTATTATTTCTAATCTGAGTCCTTGTTCATTTTTAAAATCAACTAAAATTAATTTCTGTGCCGACCTTTCGTCGAGCCGAGCCGAGTATGTGATAAGGACGTGTGAAATCGGATTAGAAAATTATTTATATATTTAAAATAATAAAACGGCTGCAAAATAATAAACAAAATTCTATAGTAAGGCTTTAAGAGCAATTATCGTGTGTTCGTGTAATAAAATTATATTAATATATAATATAATTTATATATTTATTATATTCGTATATAAGATCGAATAATTATTAATACTGTAAATTTGTCGCTCCTAAATTGCATTTTTATAAAAAGATTATCGTTTTGCAGGATACAAATGTGCTTTTTCACTATCATAGCGCTCACAATGACAAAGCGCACTGGGACGAACCGAACGTGTTCCGTCCGGAACGTTTTCTAGATGAACGGGGCCAATTTTGTCGCAACGACTCTAGCTTCCTTTTCGGCTTAGGTAAGTTTGAGACTACGCGAAATCGCGAATATTTTCGCCATTGTCTCTCTGTCCCTGTATCGCGCAAATTTCACGCTTGCGAAGGTGTGCGTAAAGTAATCAACACACGTCACGCGCATTGCTTTCTCACAATTATATGTATACTAATTGCGAGAACAATGCGGGTGATATTATTTCGTGTTTCTAGGCAAGAGACACTGTCCGGGTGAACTGTTGGCGCGTTCCTCGTTGTTCCTGTTCTTCACCAACGTCGTGCATTACTTCGACATGGAAATCTCGGCCGATCACGGCAAACCAGAACTGAAATTCTGCAATGGCTTCACTTTATCGCCGAAGCCGTATTATCTTAAACTCACGAGGAGATCCGATCTGGATGACCGAGACGGAAAGGTCGCGCCGCAAACCTTACGTGACGATACATTTGGACTTCCGCGAAGCGCGGGATCGGTTTCGTCGAACTCGTAAAACGAGACGTAAAAGTAAGACTTTCGCGCGGCGGGTAAAACCAATAAACGTCATTTTCAAACATTGCGCCGGATCTGTAATAGCTACGAATGTTTTTGTCAAACACAGTGTTGTAGTTCGTGTTACACGTATAACACGTAAAATATACAGTATGTCAATTATAAATGATTACTTATTGTTAGTACATTTGGTTTAATAAAAAGTAACACATTGTATTTCTAGCTAAAAAGAATAGAGAGAGAAGAAAGATATAAAAATAATTACTTCCAATAAAGATTCCTCGTTATTAATTGGAGTTTTTAAAATAAAAAGATTTAAAATTGCATATCGCGATAAAAACATTTTTATTAAATAAAAAAATTAAGCCATGTCTCTTTTCTCTCTCAAATTATTGTCTTGGCTATTCCTGAGTCTCCTGCAAATATAAAATATGATTTTTCAAATATAAAATGATGAATATATTTATTTCATCGAAATATATTATACTATAAAGCATTTTATATGACAAATTTAATCATAGAAAAATGTTTTGATATTTACTTATACAATTTAAAATGTTACAAATGTAACAAATATAAAAGACATTATATAAGAGATAAATAAAAAGAAGGAAGAGAACAAGGGGAAAAAATCTATTTTCTTTTCTTTTTATGATAATTTTATAATTTTTCTAAGATACTTTTTTAGAGAATATGGGGATTCAGAGTTTCTATATATATACGCTTCGAAATATAAATCAGTTTCAATAATATCAATAAGGTATGGTCCCTATACTAAATATTTATCATTAATAGTATGTAACTAATTTATAAGATTAAATAATAGAGAAAAATATTTACACACAAAGCATAGCAAGCTCGTGTGCTTGTCATCTTCTTCTATATATTGTTTATTATATCTTGTCTAAAATAAATCAACACATTCTTTTGAACCAAATATAATACATTAATTTATATAAATCTTCTGACTTTCGTAAAATGTTATACACACATTCTTAATCATTCGCTTCAGAGTTTCGATTAGAAATAACGTTCAAGATATTTTACAAGCACATGCACAATTATGTTCGCAATCAGATAACAAGCATACTTTACACCATATAAGAGTATTAGATACACATACACGCGCACATCTATCTTTATTATATATAATCGCATTGAATTACCTAAATTGTCACATACGCGAGTGCATACATATGTTATATAATTGATTATTAGATTTGAAGTTTTATAATGAAACGTATAAATGGACTGTGGCAATTTTAGACATGCCATTAAAACCATTCGCAAGTCGGAGCTTGCACTTATAATTAACACAATTAATAGTATCCAATCTATAAGACATGTTTCCATTTTTTTGCATATTTCTCTGATATAATGACTATTTTTTGGACACTTGTAAAGCAAGATTAAATAGGAACGTCACTAAGAATTTTATCAGCCTAACATCCTGTGATTGCAACTGTGTTCACAGACAGCAGTCTCTTATAACACTATACTCCAACATATTGTACACTGTTTATTTTATATGTATATATATGTGTGTATATATATATTATATATATTTAATTTAGCTTTGCCAAACTATGATTCCGATTAAAATCGATAATACGACTGCCGCTATAAGTACGAGAATGCACTTCTTTTTACGCAATTTAGTTTGATACATACTCGCTTGCCTTACTTGAGAAACACCTTCGCTGACGGATACTTCAGTTCTTTCGACCGAAGCTTCTATGGAATCTATAACCTCTCCTTGGTCATATACCAAGGCTCCAAGATCTTTGAATATTTGATTAATATCACTAATATTACTCTGTACAAAAGATAAATAACATAATTACATTTGCATATATATTTTTTGTAGTAGATGTGAAAAAATATTTACCTCCAATTGTCTTATACTAGCTTCTTGTTCTTCCAACATTCGTAAATTCATTTGCTCCTGCATTTGATCCTGTTGCAGTTTTTGATGATCATTTGTATACATTCTACTATCTTGTAATTCTATGAGTGTCTCCTGTTTCTTTTCCCCAAATGGTGGAATACCTGCACTAGCCTTAGCTTTTCTGACCATTTCTTTTTCCTTCGAAGCAGCCAGTCTTTGTACAGCCTAAGTTTACATAAACAATAATTATTAGTAATATAATACAAATATTAAAATATTCAATCAATAATTAATATCGATATTTACTTGGAAAGAATTCAATGCAGTTGTAAATTCATCTTGAAGGCGCTCTCTTTGCATCTTTCTCTGTCGTTGTTCTCCAGGGCTTGTAGATCCAGAGTTATTTGCTAATACAGCTAAATCCCGAAGATGAACACTGGTGTCCTTTGCCAATTGCTGCGTATAATGCTGTATCTGATGCCTATAAAGTGATAAAAATTTTATTAATTATTGATTTTGGTTTCCTCAAGTACTTTCCTCAAGCAACTTACAGCTGATTCCTGAGTTCTTGAGAATCAGTGGAACTACCCAACTGATTGACCATCTTCTGCATGGAAGACACTACGAAAGAATCATCAATGTGAGTATATCGTAATATAATTTTCAAATCAATTCTGTTATTTCGATACTCACCATTCTGGGATATCTTTAGTATCGAAGTACCAATAGTTTGAGACAACTTGCCAAAATCTTGCTCTCGAGCTGGACCTCCATTGTGATATGATGAGAATCCAGCATCCATTTTGACGTTATCAGCTAAATTATACATACACACAAATTTAATTATTATACAATATACTGAGGCATAAATATCTATAAACAATCCATATTTTTAATTTAAAGTTAAAAATCCCGAAGTTAAAGTAAGAATTGAATGTGACTATTCTGACAAGAATTCCAACCAATTTTTTCATACGATTTTAGATGCAACTAACCAATTTCCTGCGAACGAAAGTATCAGCTGTTCTTCAACACTCGACGAAGCTCTAGCGATGACGTTGATAAAATTCACATGAAATACGTCTTACCGCAATCTTTATTGAATGTCAAGGAATCGTTGCTATCACCTGATGTAATCCTACTTGTCAACAAAACGACTAATGACGACTAGTGGGTCGATACGTTTGCGCGATGACTCACGGAATTGATATACCGTGGAATTCCACCTCTCGATACTTCACGCATATATGTATACGAATATATACATATATACGATTCGCGTCGCTGCACGATTCAAAGGATTCTTCCAAGATTTTTAATTTTTGATAAAACGTTAAAAAATTCTCGCGTGATCAATAACGCCGCCGAGATAGATCTTGAATGAATTTTGTCGCCACAAACGTATTGAATTGTAGATTCCGAGTCTCGAGCAACAGAATGGACAAGGATCTCTGTTGGAAATAAATTTATCAATCTAACGAGCACAAGCATATATGATTTCAACCGGTATCTAATATGCATAAAAAAGATGATTCTTTTTTTCTTGTTTTTTTATATCAAGGATACAATCCACATCCACTTGGCGCTTCGCGTAATGTTTGATTGACCAATCAGAATAGAGAAACCTATCTTTCGAAGTAGATTGCATCCCGAGAGAGAAAGAGAATAAGAACAAGAACGAAAACGAGTGAAAAAGAGAGACTCTATAATTATTTCGCTCTCTCTCTTTTAATTTTTTTTTACCTTCCACTAGAACTATATGGACGTGGGAATTCTTATTACATATATTATAGTAAATATACAAAATATTGACCGAATATAATATATAAAATATCAACCGAGCAGCCACAAATCTTTTTTATACAATAATACTTTATATTATTTATTCTCTTTTTGCAATTTTTTTTTTAAGTCATATACTACAGCTGATGTATGGATATTACCAGCATAAAAAGTATATAAATAAAATTGATTAATGAAACAGTTCAATTTAAAATCGTCTAAATTGCTTTTTAAATCGTTCGTAATGGTAATCATCTGTTGCTTTTTCTCCATTGTCTTTTCGTTTTCCTCGAACATCTTCTTTGGTGGTGCTTTTTTTCTTGTTATCAGATTCTTGCTGCGATTTCTGGAAATCCGAGTCTTCTATGTTAACTGAAAATAAAATTAATATATAAATTAATATATATATTAAAATTAAAATATATATATATCTCAATTAGAAGGACAGAGATTTACATACATCTGTTGTGCTGTACAAAATTTACGGCCATATTAGTAGGAACAAACTGCGATGGTCCATCTTTCTTTCTATGTCTATCCCAAAGTAGCTTTAACTTTGCCTCTTCCGTAGCTTCAATATTACGGATTTTAGCCCTGAAAGTTAATTGTATTTTTAAAAATAATACTTGTTATAAAACTTGTAATATTAAAAATTTTCTCTTTCTCTCTCTTCTTTCTAATGTAAATAAATCTATATTATTATTTCAGGTTTCAACAAGAATTATTGTCCTATTAATATCAAATATATTCACTACTGTTTACTCTTCATCATATCTAAATTATGGAGAAATACTTACTCTATGCCAAGGTCAACTTCTGGAATGCCAGAGAGCATTTGATTTGAAAGCATTTCCTCGCTACGATTGGCAGAACTTTGTCTTAAATGTCCTGGTACTGCACGTAATGCTGCTTCTTCGGGCGAGCAATATGATCCTTTTTCATTATATGTACTATTTGCCATATCGTTATTATTTTTACTTTTCCTTTTTGATAATTCCTCTTCTATGTATTTAACCCTAATAACAGTATTTATATTAGCTTATAATATATCTGTATAAATCCTTTAATACTAGCAATATATAATAGAAGTAAATCTACATATATACATACATTTCTTCATCCTCATCTCGTTTGTTAGTCTCTGCATTAAATTGTGTTCCAATGCCAGTTTCATATGCATCATTTTGCCTGTGTTTTGTATTTTTCAATACAGCCATATTTACCATTCCTCCAGTCTTCATGTTAAAGGGGTCAGACTAAATTAACATATATTTATTATTATTTATATCATATTTTCTCTCATGTGTATCATGTTTTAATTTTACTACATATCCCATGTACCGTTATTGCATCAGATGAAACATTTTCTCCAAGAGCTAAACCAACGACGTTGATACCTGCTGGTCTTTCGCGAAGCTTTTGGATAATCTTCATCTCTTCGACTTTCTCTCTAAAATAAATCTTCCTTTTATTAATCAAAGTAATTTTTTACTCTATTGATATTTAATTACTATATAATATATATGTCATATGTACCTGACAGAGACTTTTTCACCCTCGCTGTCATTGTCATCCGACAGAACTTCACGTTTCCTTAATGATTTCTTTTTCTTCTTCTTAAACTGAACATTATGCGATTCTTCGTCACTGTTACCCATATTTCCTTAAGTAAAAATTAGCACTTCTAACACACTGAAAAACTTATGTATTGTTATATATTTTTTGCGCAAGTACATGCACTTCAAATATACACGCGCTTTCACGCACGATTGTCAAATTGTATATAAAATACGCAGTTTTCTAGCTCTAGCTTCGTAAGAAACAAGGCTCTCTGACAGAAGTGACAACCTTCGACAAACTCCGAATTGAGTGGCGTTCGAAAATTTACTTGTTGGAGTAGAGTAGCATTTGGTTGACCAATCAGGATAAAGAAATTTTTGCTTCTTTAAATGTTACTCAACTCCGACACTTACTAAAGCAGAAGATCCTCATACAAATCTTTACAAATAATAAACTTTTTTATTTCCTAAAAAATTAATGGCTTTTTATCTTGTATTTGGATACATATAGATGTTGGGTGGATCGCTATCTTTGTCAAGGATTCACTGATTGGTTGATGCTATTCTGATGATATCGGTTAAAAACATTGAATTGAAAAAAAAATAAAAATAATTTATAATCCTTTCCCATTTCATTGTTTATAAATTGATAAATAAAATATTTCCAAAATATTTGCTGTGTAAAAGCTGCGTACATATCGCTATATCGTTATTATTGCTAAATATCTGATGAGAAATGTTTTTAGCTCAGATAATATAATGTAAAAAGAGACAGAGATCCAACCAAAAATATACTTGTCTCTTTCTAATTCTGGCTCCGATTTTCTATAGGGAAAACGCCGGAATGATCTCTTTCTCAGGCTTCTCTCTGATACTCTGATACTGTGATTGTGTATGGATGTACGCAACTGTCAATTGTAGAAGTGCGTGGAATTACGTCTGACATTGTGTTTATTACGTCAACGCGTAATCATGAGCTGTGGATTTGTTACTTGCGGCCCGAATGAGGCTCTCGTAGTTTCAGGTAAATCCAGCGAGAAGATAGGGTGTCATTACTCGAAATTATTTATTCTCTTTTTTTCGCATCTGTGCTGATTAATCATTCGTGAAAAAAGGAGAAGAGAAAGGGAGGAGCACGCTCCTCCTATGCTGCGATAATTGATTTGCGGAATGACACGGCGGTGGGGAAACGCGGGATCGATCAGGAACAATTATGCCTAATATATTTTACTCATGTTAGATTACTATGTATATATATATATCTTTGCTATGCAAATTTTTATTAATGTTGATTTAAATCCTGAAAGATCCTACAGATTTTTCCGGATTTTCTCTATTGCCACTTTGCATTTATATAACTTTTAATTTTTTTTAACTTTTTTTAACTTTTGCGTCAAGGATGTTGCTACAGCAAACCTCTTTTGGTACCTGGAGGACGGGTATTTGTATGGCCCTTCGTGCAACAAGTGCAAAAGTAAGTGTTACGTAAGTACTATTATAGCATATAAATGATACAGTATGAGTTCTTTGGTATAATGTATGTGTATCTTACTTTCTATAGAATCTCTTTAAATACGATGACTTTACAAGTCGAAAGTCCAACAGTGTATACTTGTCAAGGAGTACCAATATCTGTAACAGGCATAGCACAGGTAATTAAAAAAAAATGTAATGTTTTATTATCTATAATTATTATAGTTCTATATATAATAAAATTAACAAGCTTGTATAATTTGAATTGGATATCTTTCGTATTAGATATATTTTACTTTACAGCAATTGGTATATATTTATTATTTATGAAATTTTAAAAACGTTTTTTGCAAATATAAAAGGGTTTTGTATTAGCTTGATCAGACACTTGCATATGTAAACTATTGTATTGGTACTAGGTAAAAATTCAAGGACAAAATGAGGAAATGCTGTCTACGGCATGTGAACAGTTTCTTGGAAAATCTGAGGATGAGATACACAACATAGCTCTTGTCACATTGGAAGGACATCAACGGGCTATAATGGGCAGTATGACTGTAGAGGTAAGCTAAAGTACAGCCATATCGATAACAAAAAAAAGATTTATTCAAAGATTAAATTTTTTCATGATAGTTTTTTTTTCATATAAAAAAACAAAAGTATTTTTTAAAACTAATATTTATTGAGATATTGATAATTTTTTCTATGTTACGTCTACAGTGGATGCTCTATGATTTTATTACTTTTACATAGCATATAGCAATAAACTGTTTTAATTCACTAATCATTAGAAAAGCTATAGCTGAGTGTTTGATTTTACTCTGCCTTCTTTATCACAGGAAATTTACAAGGATCGTAAAAAATTTAGCAAGGAAGTATTTGAGGTTGCAAGCAGTGATCTAGTCAATATGGGCATTACTGTCGTATCGTATACATTAAAAGATATTCGAGACGAAGAAGTAAGTTTACATAATTACAATATATAAAAAATGTACAAATTACTGAAAAATATAGACACATAAATGACAAAAGTATATAATTCAAATATGTAAATATTTAAAAGTTTAACTGTGAGAGAAAGGTAATATCAATGACATATACAAACAATCCATTGTCACAAATGTCTGCAAATTATAATCGAATTACTACAGTGTACACAAAAAACAAAGATATTCAAAAGACCCCCTTTAAACAAATAATATTTCTTTATAATTAAGATGAGTATGAAGTTTTTAATAATTAATATAGTAAGATTCACTTGTATATTGTAAATATTGAATACTTCTTTGTTTTGCTACTTGCAGGGGGCAAAGGTATGTTCAAATTTTACCACTATTATATCTAATGTCTTGGCACACATTGCTATATCTTCTAACATTATTATTGCAAATTCTTCAGATTTTGGAAAATGGTATTTTTTGTTTTACAGCATATTCTCATCGCTTTTTGTAATAATAGCACAATTGTGTGCACTTGCAATACTTGGTTCACAAAGTACACATCATTGCTACCTTAATTTGATATCGAGATATTTTTAAATAACAAACTTTGAGGGGAGATATGTTGCTAATTTATTTATTTTTTTTTTTAATTAAAATATGTGATGTCAATAAAAAGAATAAGAATAAAAATATATGGTTTTTTAAAAATGTCTCAGTTGCATTATTTAAAGAAAATATTATTATAAATGCTAATACTAGACTACGCTAATTAAAAATTAGATTCAATATTATATTGGAAAACAATGGTACATATGTAGCCTTTATATGTCACTCACAGATGTTGCTTACTCAAATGCTGAAATCATCTCGTCTTATTGTATTATATCATAAATTCTATCACATAATATTTTATGAGGATATATTATTTGTAGGGATATCTGCAAGCACTCGGTATGGCACGTACGGCAGAAGTAAAGAGAGACGCTAGAATAGGTGAGGCGGAGGCTCGTAGAGACGCTCAAATTAGAGAAGCTATTGCCGAGGAGCAAAGAATGGCCTCTCGTTTCTTAAATGACACAGAGATTGCGAAAGCACAACGTGACTTCGAATTGAAAAAGGCTGCTTACGATGTCGAGGTTCAAACCAAAGTGAGTAGAGTTTTATCGCTTTTTACATGTGGATCCTGTAAACAAGTTACAAATATAAAAACATTACTTGCAGAAAGCTGAAGCAGAAATGGCCTTTGAACTTCAAGCGGCGAAAACCAAACAGAGAATTATGGAGGAGCAAATGCAAGTAAAAGTTGTAGAACGTAGTCAAGAGATCGCCGTACAGGAGCAGGAAATGCTAAGACGCGAAAAAGAATTGGACGCCACTATACGACGTCCTGCCGATGCGGAGAAATACAGGTATGCATGATTACACGCGTACTTACAAGCCGAGCTTTCGTTATACATCTAAGATTTTGTTTCCAGGTTAGAGAAAATAGCTGAAGCGAACAAATTGCGCCTTGTTATGGAGGCTGAAGCTGAAGCTGAGGCTATTAAAATTCGCGGCGAAGCGGAAGCTTTTGCCATTGAAGCGAAAGCTAAAGCAGAGGCAGAACAAATGGCAAAGAAAGCGGCCGCATGGAACGAGTACAAGAGCGCAGCCATGATAGATATGTTGCTTGATACACTTCCAAAGGTATATAATCTCTGTATTCTTAAGAGATTCCTATCTTTAACATTTGAAATTTATTTTTCTTATTCTTTTTCGTTTATTCATTTTTATTTATATTCTTACTATCTGGATCAATTCTCTGTTATTCATTATATATTTGTCACTTGATTATACATGCATGCAATAAAAATGTCATTCTATGCATTATTAAAATGAAATTTGTGTGCATGTGAATAAAAAAAATAAGGATAAAAAAAAGTACTAAAAATAAAGTTTGATAATCTTTATAATATTCTTAATGTGTATTTAAGAATATTTGAATAAAATCAGGAAAATATGATTTTTCGATTTGCCTTATAGGTTGCCGCCGAAGTAGCCGCCCCTCTTTCCCAAGCAAAAAAGATAACTATGGTCTCGAGTGGTAACGGCACTATTGGTGCAGAAAAATTAACTGAAGAAGTTTTCAATATTGTACAACGTGTTCCGGATCTTGTTAAAAATTTAACCGGCGTGGATATTTCAAAGGTATGCACAAGGCTTGTAACTGTCTACGTTAAAAAAATGTGTAAGGTAAACTTATTATCTATAAACTTTTCTTTTTAGTCTGTTCATGCTGCGTAAACGTGCAATGTCAAGAGCATTCGAATTCCTTGATCATTACGATGTGTCGTTCTTCAATGTGTATATTTATAAAGAAATAATCAATGGACTTTTTTTATGTATATACATTTCTTTTAAAGATATTTCGTCCTATATAACTCACATCAAGTATAATTTATAATATGAAAAGTCTTATATTAGAAAAAAAGATTCTACAAGTTTTGCTGTGCCATTTATGTAAAACGTCTATGTATATTACTAGTTATTTTTGATATTACTTCCAATTTCAAAAAAATCAGGAATAATTAGTATAAATTTAAATAAGCGATTTAATTTAACTACGGTTTTAAGAGCATATTCACGAAAACAAAAAATTTCGTAAGTCATTCATTCCAATAACTTTTATTCATCCCGACAGTAAAAGTGTGATATAACATTAATACAGCACATTATTGATATTACTTATGTATATTTTAAAATATTTTATCAATTTAACGCATATTTGTTAACAAAAAAAAAAAAATCGTGTGTGTGTTCTTGAATCTCTTAAGAGCCGATCGTAATGGTTCATGTTTATCTATGTATAATTCTATGCCAAAACGTGCCGAATGCCATTCTCTCCCAAATATTATATATATATATATATTACATGTACCTTTTAAACATAAATTATACCAAATGACTCTTTTTAGAAGATGAAAGTATTTAATATTTCTTAAACATCACTTATAATATTGTTCAATATGAGAGATCTTCTTAGTTTTTGAAACAAATTTATATGTGACTTTGCGCGTGAGCGTTCTATTTTCTGCATTTACAAAATATGTGTGAAAAAAAAACAGTAATATATTTTATCGTATTTATAAATACATATAAAAAAGTCACAGAGATCTAATCATTTATATGAATTATAGTGTAGCCTTTCAATAAGCTTCAAATTACATTATATTTATATGACCAATATATATAAAGCTTTATAAACGAATAAATATGTATGCGATTTTGTGTAAAGCAATAATGCAAGTAAACGTTACAAGCTCATTTTTTTGTGTATCTTGTTTATCTTATTTATTCCACAATTCTTTCGCGACCGTATAATTGTAATGATTTTTATAGATTTTCGAAAAAATAAATCACAAAACAAACGACTCACGGCATAGTAGATCTTATGTTACGCTTTACTGTTTCTTTGACAGATAGTATAAAAATGTACAATATTTCGATAATATTAATAAGGATACGTATGACAAATAAAAATGTGCAAGAACCGCACGAACTGATCCACATGTGTGACGGACTGTGAATCTCTTGAAAATATCATATAATATTAAGTATATTTCGAGCAATCTCTTGAGAGAGAAATGGATATATACAGATCTTTTTTAGTGGACTTTCTAGCTGGAGGTCTATCCGCGGCGATTGCAAAAACTGCAGTCGCTCCTTTAGAGAGAGTGAAATTGTTGCTGCAAGTGCAGCACACTTCGAAACAGATTAAACCTGAGGAACGATACAAGGGTATATAATGTTATACATAATTATATATATTATTAACCATATTATTATTTATAATAATATATATATATATATATTTCCTTTATACGAAAAATAATTTCATTAATCTTTTGATGTTAGTTCGCGTGATGTTAATAATCGTGGAAATTTTATTTCAGGTATGCTAGACGCGTTCGTACGTATACCTAAGGAAACAGGACTTCTCAGCTTCTGGAGAGGCAATCTCGCCAACGTAATCCGGTATTTTCCGACTCAAGCGCTCAATTTCGCGTTTAAAGATAAATTCAAGACCCTGTTCCTGGGGGACGTGCCATCAGACGCATTTTGGCGACAGTTCGTTGGAAATTTAGCGGCCGGCGGTGCCGCCGGTGCGACATCGCTTTTATTCGTTTATCCGCTTGACTTTGCCCGTACTAGGTACGTTTTATACATTATTATATTTTGTACAAGATGATAATGTGCGGATTTGAATCTTTTAGACTGGCTGCCGATATCGGAAAGGGCGAGAAACGGGAATTTAAAGGTATAAGTGACTGCATATTAAAGATATTTGAATCAGACGGATTGCTCGGGCTGTATCGTGGTTTCAACGTCAGTGTGCAAGGGATTATTATATATCGAGCAACATACTTTGGATTTTATGATACTGTGAAGGGTACACTACCTGATCCGAAGAGCACACCGTTGTACATGAATTTTATAATTGCCGAGGTATCTTCTTCGCTTTCTATTAGACAGCATAATGAATATATAATGATGAAGCAACGAAAATATAATAAATGTTTTGTGTTACAAATATCTTTTATATCTTACTTTTCTTACAGGTAGTAACAACGATAGCGGGCATCGTATCCTATCCCTTCGATACAGTCAGAAGACGGATGATGATGCAGTCAGGCCGAAAAAAGACCGATATAATGTACAAAAATACATTGGATTGTTGGATAAAAATAACAAAGACTGAAGGATCTGGAGCTTTCTTTAAAGGCGCATTCTCTAATATTCTTCGTGGCACCGGCGGTGCTCTCGTTTTGACGTTGTACGATACTGTCAAGGAATCAATCGAAAGAGCGATCTCGAAAAATTTGTGAATTTTTAGGAATTTCATAAATTTTACTGTGGTGTATAAGAGATCGTTTTATAAATGTGTATGATTAAGAGAATCGTGTTTAAATTTATGTACATTCATATATAGTGGAATCTATATATATAAATATAAATATTTCTATATAAAGTTATAAATATTAATGACAAACATTTTATATTATAGAAAACATATAGAAAAAATAACTTTCAGTTTTCACCATTATTTTCTATGTTAAAACCGTTTTTATAAACTATTCTCATGTTATGAGAATAGCTTATAAAAACGGTTTTAACATAGAAAATTATAAACACACACAAAATTATAAAAATTTTATCACAGATTAGCTTTATACAATTATGTACAAAATCAATCTTTTGCATACATATAAGATATTTTAATATCACGTTTGTGTGTGTGAAGTATTTATTCATGAATACTTTTGATAAAAAAATACATGTACATCGCAATGCGAGCGATTAATATGTATTTTAATAATTTATTGTTCAATTTACATCAAAATCACACAAAATAAATTACAATTGCAACAATTTTGCATATGTACTTGGTTTAACATTAATATATCAGCTGTGACAGGTTGGCCAATTTTATAAAAATGAATAATAATCAACTGATCTTTAATAATGCTTCTTACTACTGCAATATATTTTTATCAATACAAATTTTTTTTTTTTAAATTTACTTCTTGATATTGAACAAATCATTGTTGCAACTAAAGAATTTCTATATTTTAGATTTTTTATATATTATATTAACAAAATGTATGATTATTAATTCAACATAGTGTGACGATCATAAATGTTCCGCCTTTGTTCACGAACTTGCCTTTTCCACTTGTCCTGCTGATGTCCTACTCGATTCAAAACATTACCTCTTTCTCCCATCGGATGAGAAGTTCCAGGTGCAAGAGATGAATCATCCTTTAAAAGAAAAAAATCAACAAATTAAATTAAAGAAAAATTATCATTAAACTTATTAATAGTGTATCTATTATATAGAATTATATTCTATTATATAGAAGTATCAAAAAAACATGAAAATAAGAAAAATTTTATAAAGAAATTTTTTTCCACGCTTACCTCCTCATTATTATGTTCATGATAACCAATATTTGCTGAAGGCTTATGTATCCGCTTGTTAAGTAATGGATCCAAACAAATTAAGAATAACATATATATCACCAACAGAGATATAACCCATATAACTATTATCACCACAATCTGTAATAATATTAATATTTCCATCAAATACACAATAGCGATATAAAATTTATTTATGAAAAGTACCTTAATGATAGTTGTATTCCTATTTTCATATTTGCAGTCACATCGTGGGCAAAATATTTCTTCTTTCCCTTTTATCTGATCTCCAAGTTTTGGTAGAACAACGCTCTCGCATTTACTATAAATTTTACATATATTATAATATATTAATGACAACTGTATAGTGCATAAGATTATAAATTGTATAGATATGCAATATAGAGTTTTCCACATCAATTTGTTTGAATATATATCATGCATTTCAACATTTATGTTTGAAAGCCTTTAATCGCGATTAAGAAAAAAAATGTTTCTCAAAATATATGGGTTTCTAGTAGAATAAGGAAAACTATATATCGCATATTTTCACATGAATTATAGAATTACCATTGTAATGGTGGAACATTTATGATATATGTGAGACGTTCCATAGACGACTGCGTTGTGTTTATAACGGAAGAGAGGCTCGGACAGATACATTTGCATCTCTTGTCATCGTATTGCGCCTGGAATTTAATTTGTAATATCATTAAACGTATTTGCAATCCTTCAACTAATTTATAAACAAAGCCATGAAAAATGCATCCTAACCTCAGTCTGTGACAGACAGGTTAAAATAACTATCGTGATAAGAGGAATGTACTTTAACATTGTGTCCTTCGCACATGAAGAAAAACGTGTAGAGTTTGTCAATTTTCAACGTAATCGCATACAAAATCACGCATGAGGATAATGATTACAATCGTACATGATCCTCGTTCAAATCAGAGCGTAGTAAATTGACATGTACATACATACACTGACCACTGACACTGACATAACTGACAACTGATTTCCACGCGCATGCGCAACGTCATTGAACACGTGACCGACTTTGACAGATCCATGCTAAGATGCTGTACACAGATTGTCAAGTCGAATAGATTTTCGAACCAATCTAGAGAGATTCTCTATTGTATTTAAGTACCTCCTGATTAATCCCTATCACACTTATTTGATTTGTCTAAGGTTGGTAGTAAAGTACAGCAGAGCCATCGTGTTCTCCAGTATTTTCTGATGCAATCCTCCAATTCTCTTGAAGCAACGTGTGACACACGGTGAGAGCTTAAAATCACTTCGAATTTTCTTCATTCGAGGCGAGAACGAACTACAATCCGGATAATGACGGAAGAGGATTCGGTATGTAAAGTTTAATCACCGACAAATTGCTCGATTCAAGTATAAATATATAATTGGTAAATATTTGCTGTTTTACTCGAATTTTTTCTATTGAAAGAATGTCATGTTCCGCTTTTCCTTTTCATTATTTACAAAGAATCTCCTTACGAAGGAGTAATTTCTCGGTGAATAAATATATTTGGAAAAAGCGGAAAAGAGAGAAAGAGAAAGAGAGAAAATAGTCAATTTAATAACCTCAAAATCTTTGGTGCATGAATATTTCTCTATCGTGTATTAATTTTTTTAATTGTTACAACAAAAAGATTTTTATGAAAAACTATTTATATATATATGTTTACATATTTATCCTCTCTTACATTCTCTACTAAATTTTTATTAGTTTTATTAAGTGTTTTATTTGTCCTATTTACATTATACTCTCCATATGTATAATAGTAGAACTATAAGAATAAAAAACAGTGTTATTTCCTTTGATTAATTTTTTAGGTATTTGATCCAACCTTGAAAAAGAAGAAAAAAAAGAAGAAGACTGCCTTTGACATTGATGCAGCTTTCAACGAAGGAGGCAGTAGCGGTGATACAACTGAGAACACTGTTGACAAAGAGAATCAGGAGCCTGAACCTACAGTTGTTGAAGATGACGAGGCACTGGATCTGGAAAATTTCGGCAAAAAAAAGAAAAAGAAGAAAAAGGCTTTTAATTTAGATGAGTTAGAAGCAGCTTTACCTGATACCAAGAAAGAGGTAAGGAAAAAATTTTTATAGAAGCAATATATATTTTTGTATTGGATATCTTTATTGATCTCATTATCTTTTGTTTACTATTGTAATTGTTATTTTATCGTAAAAATAATTAAACAATTTTAATTATTTTTGTTTATTATTTTCTGATGACAGATATTTTTGATAAATTTAAAAAAAAAATATTGTTATTAGATAGGATATGTTGTATATATTCAATAACAAATTAATTTAATTTTTTAGGTAACTTAATTGGGCAAATTAAAAAATCTATAACATAAGTTTCTTTTAGTAATAAGTAATAAGGTTTGATAAAGCTGTGTTTTAAGTTTTCTGAAATCTTGTTATTTATTGAACAGGAACCTATAGAGCAACAAGTCGAAGAAATTATAATGGATGATGACTTTGACTTAGATATGGACTTCTCAAAGACAAAGAAGAAGAAAAAGAAGAAGAAGGATCTTGATGAATTAGTAGCTGAAGAGGAACGCAAGGAAATTGAAGATAAGGAGAATGGTATGTATCATAAGAAATGACTTGTGCCGATATTTTTTTTGCATCTAGTTGTTTATGTTACTCATTATTTGTTAACATGCTGCACTGAATCTGAGCGAAGTGCAGAGTATGGTAAGACATGCTTCGTGTTTCTAACTATATCAACCCTGCACTTGATTATCCTTTGATTATTCTTGCACTTAAATTTTATAATAAAATCGATATTTAAACATACTAACTAAACATATTTATTTTTATTTTGAAGACATTATGCATTATGTACATATATATTATATACAAAAAAGAAACTTTAGCGCTTTGAATATCATACATTTTCTAAATATAAAAGTATATATATATATATATGTATGTATGTATATTTTATATTTAAATATTAATTAAAGTGCAATAGTTTTGTAACTTTAATAAAAAATTTTAAGATGCATTTTTTTTTGAAATTTTTATAAACTTGCATAAAATGAAATGAAAATTTGAATGTGCATGCATGCATTATGTATGTGTATGTGTATATGTGTAACGTGTGTAATTAATATTCATGATTAAATACTTTTCAATATTCTTTGGTTAGGTAGATTTAATTGGTAAATTTTTCATAATAATTTGTGCAATGAGAGAAAAGAAAGTGTAGCATAATGTATATATTTTGTATAAATATGTAGAAAAATTATATTTAAATATTATAAATATTTATTCTTTGCAATACACACTTGGAAAAAGTGTGTTTTACAGATATACACAAAAACTCCTAAATAATGGAAGAGATATTTTAAATATAAATATGTATATAACTTGCTTTGTAACTTATTTTGATAAAATCTTTTATCAAAATAAAGTCAGGAACCTTAAAACATTCTTTCTTCAGGTTTGCTATTTATATCTGTGATTTGGGAAAAACGTTCAATGTATTTAAAACATCTCTATGTATTTTATAAACCTTTTATATCTCCATATGTGTACAATATTGGATTACACTATATTATTGTCAATTGAATTATTTTCAGCTATTAACAACATCATAAATATTATACATATTGCTTTTATTTGCACTCTTGTTTGTTCTATTGTAATATTTTCACATGTAAGTTTGATAAAGTTTATTGATAGTTGTTTTCAATATGACTTATCTAGTTAATACTAGATAAAAATTTCTTTGTTCTTTTTTCTTAGTGGAGGAACCAAGTTTGTGGGTAGGCTCGGACAGAGATTATACGTATGATGAATTATTAGTTAGAGTATTTAATATCATGCGAGAGAAAAATCCTGATATGGTGGCTGGTAAGAAACAGAAGTTCGTCATGCGTCCGCCTCAAGTGGTACGCATTGGAACAAAGAAAACGTCTTTCGCCAATTTCACCGAGGTATGCGCTCTTCTAATTAATTAATAATTATTAATTGAAATTATTATACCTATTATTAATGTAGTTGCTAATTATTTATGTACTGATTTTTCAATAACAATATATTACGTAAATTATTAAAAAATTAAATGTATGCTCTCTTTTTCTCTATTTTTCTAACATATCTGCAAGATGTAAGACAAGCAACACTGCGAATTTCTATCTTACAAATACATCTTTGCAGATTTGTAAAACATTGCACAGGCAACCAAAACATTTATTGGACTTTTTGCTGGCCGAGTTGGGTACGAGCGGCTCGGTTGACGGTAACAGTCAATTGATTATCAAAGGTCGCTTCCAACAGAAGCAAATAGAGAACGTTCTTAGGAGATATATCAAGGAGTATGTTACATGTCATACATGTCGTTCGCCGGACACAATCCTTCAAAAAGATACTCGACTTTTTTTCTTGCAATGCGAGACCTGTGGCTCGAGATGCTCCGTCGCTAGTATAAAGTCTGGATTCCAGGTAAGTTATTCTTTGAGATGACATAGGTGATAGTAACGTTATTATATCGCGATACATATAAGTGCATCTTTATAAATTAAAATTTTCTATATCTGTTTCACAGGCTGTCACAGGAAAACGCGCTGCTATTCGTGCGAAAACTGCCTAAGCAATTTTCTCTGTCTAAGAAAACGCTAGTGCAAATAAAATATTATGAAATAAAAATAAATGGTACAGATTTATTGAATGCATTTCAAATTGATTTGAATATAACTGAATTTTTTAAAGATTATTTATATAAATATTGGATTCTATACGAAAAATTTTAGAATTTACATTCTAGAATGCAGACTTTTGAAAATTTACTTCACAAATATCTCTAAATTTTATATTTAATATTATTTTAACTATTGTTGATATTTTTTTTCTATATACAGGTTTTCTTCATGATAATTACATTTCGATTTAAATACAGGAGAGTGTAGATAGCATTCTATAATCCGGATTATCATAAGTTTAATATTGATCCTAATGTATGAAAAAAGGTGACTTAGTTGTAAAATTCTTAACTTGTTTTAACAATCTTAAGCTGTGAAATTTTCTCATTCTACATTCTATTATCTCGGGATACATTAATTCCAATGCTTTGAATTTGGATTCTTAGATTATAATATTTCTGAGAATAATTATATTTTTTTTTTATTTGCAAATGCAACAATTAATAAAGCGAAAAGATTTTGATTTTGTTTTATTTAGATTATTATTAAGATTATTTTAAAAAAAAATTAAGTATTTTACGACCGAGCTATCTCTTTTCTTTTTCTTTTACATTAGAAACGATATTAAACTTATGATACTCCAAATTATATACATTTAATATTATCTATATTTCTCATTTTTATTCAAACCAATTTGAAATGCAATCATCATGATCGAAATTTGTATATGAAAAACAATGTCGACAATGGTTAAAATAATAATAATCATTTAATTTTCGATTTATATTTTTTTTTTTGGTCATTAATTAACTTTAACCTGAATAAAAACAAAATAAAATTACATTTCTTGCAATATGATTTACTTGTTTAGGTACTATATAAGAAAATTATCTTCAGATATTAAATGATGAAGAATATTGGATTGTTAACAATAGATTTAGATAACAATTTTGTATTTTTTTGTATATATACATGAATTATAGATCCAAACAGGCTTTTGCAAAATGGATAACAATTTCGCAAAATTGTGTAAGCATAAAAATTTTCTTTGAAACATTTTTGATAATATATAAAGCAGTTCTTTAAATAATTTATTTAATTATATTCCGATTAGACAAATTTATCTCAAATTGTTTCATATGTTTCTTCAAATACCTTTGAACAATTTGATTAGACTCTTTAAGACAAATATATATAATAAATCTGATAAATAACTAATCAATATAGAAATATCTTTTATTCAACGCATTTAATATCTTTTTGTGCACTCTAATGAGATGCTGCGGTTTAAATATGTAAGGATGATTATTAATTATATAGAACACAAAGTTAATAACAACACAAAATTGCAAAAGAATGTTTGTGTGTTTAAAAAAAGATATATTTGTATATAATAAATAAGTATGCTAGACACATGTTGTGCGCATATATATTTCTGGAGAAAATCTCAAATTAACAAATTAGAATTTCAATCATGTCACTTTTTGTAGTAATTACATATGTTTTAGTTTTGTACTAAAGCAAATAAAATGTTCTTAAAAATTCAGTCTTTTTACAAAAAATCGATCTATTTGAAGTTTTATGAAAAGACTGTTTCTTTTTTTTAAGTTATCAGCCGGTTTTTCACGCACATGCGCGTCAAAGTATAGTGTAAGAACATCTGTGTGTATTTTTAAAAATTATCATTTCTTATTTTGTCAATAGTTTCTTTGAAATATTTAAATTTATATGTACATATATTGAGCAATATTAAGTTATTTATTCATTTTGATATATACATATATATGGCATATATCATAGTTCTATTGTGCGTGCACACAAAAAAACCGGCCTGACCTAATGTTATCGGGAGAGGCATGCTAGAAGCGCACAAAGAAACGCGATTAGAAAAAAAAAAAAAAAAAAAAAACATTATCGACTGTTCAGCGCGCGAGGAGGACAGAAAGAGAGAGAGTAATAAGCATAACTACGCGCCATCAGCAGTCAGCTGATTCGACAGCGTCTCGTCGCGATACAGCAATTATTGTATTGGTTTGACTTTGGCGATGCTAGATTACACACGTCTGGCTATTTATCGCCCATGAGATGCTGAGATTCCGGAAATTATTTCCACAACCCTGCTCAATTATCGCAATGGTGCACGTAGGAGCGCTCCCTGGTAAATTTCTCATTATCTTTGGCACGCGTACCGCGATCGATTTTTGGATCGTATATAATTAAACTCGATTATAATTGGAGCGATCTAATCGTTCCAAATATGATTAATAGTCAGAAAATTCGTTTCGCTTTCTCTTTTTTTTCTCCATGATATTCTGGAAGATTATAGAAATATTTCTGCAGTTTAAAAATATAAAGACTGCACCGAGAAGATCGTGGAAAACGCAATTAAAGAAGCATCAATGTACGCGAAATATAACGTGGTAATTCTTTTTGCAATATTATTAATATTGATTTATATATGAAATATTCAAGACTCCTTTCGAGTTTTTTTATCGATTTATCTATTCTTTATTTATGGATTTGTTTGGGCTTTCCCGCGAATTAAAAATTTTCTTTAATAAAAATGCTAATATGCTTGAGAACACTATTTTGTTTAGACCGCAAAAAGTTAAGTTCAAATAAATAGTCCATATAAATAATCAAATATTTATTTAATTAATATTTAAATGGATCTTACTTTAACGAATTTATAATTTAAAGATTAAAATTGCAAAGTTTTGTATAGATAATTGGAAATTTGACATATAAAATATAAATAATAAATAAAATATAAATCTCTATTTAATAACTTTATATTTTGATTTTTCTCTCTGTGATTATACAAAATTCTGCGAAAACACCCGCGATTATGCATCGATCTGAATGCATATATGTTTTCTAGGATGGAATACTGATCGAAAATATGCACGACATTCCCTACGTTAGGCAGAGAGATCTGTCACCGGAAATCACAGCTATGATGACAAGAATTTGTCTAGAAGTTAAAAAAAATGTGCCGCAAAATATCGCATGTGGCGTTCAGGTACCAAAAAAAAAAAAAAAAAAAAAAAAAAAAAAAAAAAAAAAAAAAAGCGCAAAAAGGGGGGGGGGAATGCGCTACACGGATGCGGGTGCATGCACATATATAATATTCCTTCCTCTCTTCTCGTTTAAATTCGAGTTCGGCAATTTATAAACGCTAACAATTAGTTCGTTATCCAATTTATATCAAACTATTGTTGGATTATATCGATTATCTAATTACATTAAAATTGTATGTAAAATTATATGAAATTTATAATTTAATTATATATGATATCATATATAATTTAATTATATATAATTTAATTATATATGATATCAATATAATGTTCTATATTAGATATATTAATTTATTAACAATTTTATTGATATTAAATTTATCAAATTACTCTAATGACGAGTTATTGATTTACTGATATCAATTTTATTTTTTTTTAATATCATCTATCAACGTTAAATTTGACATATTAATTAACGCTAATGTTTGTATCTTTTTTCACAAGGTTTTTTAAACGATCGAATATTGCTTTGATAGATTCTCGCAGGATGCAACAAGGAAGCGATCGCGGTTGCCAAGGCTGCAGGATTGCAATTTATCAGAGCCGAAGGATTCGTCTTCTCCCACATGGCCGATGAAGGCTTTATTGATGCAAATGCCGGAACTTTATTGAGATACAGAAGACAGATTGACGCAGACAACATTCTCGTTTTTGCTGATGTCAAGAAAAAACACAGGTGAGATTATTTTAAATAATCAAGCTAATTTTAAATAGATAAAAGGAAATATTTTTATAATTTAAAGAAAAACTAATAATAACATAATAAATCTGTTCGAAACTTCTCTAGTTGAGAATATGTTAAATATATAAGAAATAATAATATACGCGCGCATGCTGGCTCTGCGCTCCCTCCTCCGTAATTTTATGTCGCGAAAATAGAGCTTTGCGTAAACATTCTATTTTTTCGTCATCTTTGTCCGATATTTTTACAGCTCGCACGCAATTACTTCCGACGTGAGCTTATTGGAGACGGTTAAAGCTGCGGAATTTTTTTTAGCCGACGGCGTTATATTGACCGGTAATGCAACCGGAGAGGAAGTAAACGTAAGGGATCTTTCAGGTACCTTTTTTTCTTAAATTTTTTCTATATAGAATCTCATCACATGCATGATACGACTTCCAAGAAGAAAAAACGTGTCAAAGCATTTATATAGGTGTAAATATCTATATATACATGCATAAATTATATTAGGCCCAAAGTGACGAAATTTCTATTATCTTTTATAAATTTAGGGGAAATTGATAAACGGTCAGATCTTGATCTTAAATTTATTATTTCCATATTCTTAGCATCTTCTCGCGTCTTGTTTTCCCATTATTTTGTATCTGTCATGTATGCGTAGCATTAAAATTTAGCGCTTAATTAGAAATGACACTTTCATTTTGCGCTCTATATAAATAAAAAAAATTTGAAAAGTATAGATTTCAAAAATATCGATATACAGGGTGAGGCATTTATAGTGACGCGGGCATATTTTTCGGAAACGATGATATTATTGGTCTTAGTGTGATATCAGGCTTATGTACGTCGATCTGATAAGGATAAAAAAAACCAAATTCGAGATGAGGTCATGAATCGCGATGGTGTGATGTGATAAGGATTTGAATTCAATTCACGAAACAGGATACGTGAGAGCGAGAGGGACGCCGTATATATTGCATTTTGCAGAAGTGCGAGAGCGCGTCGTCTCGAGGCTACCGTTGCTGATCGGCTCGGGCGTGACGTTGGACAACGTAGATAATTATGCGAATGTAGCGGACGCGCTGATTGTGGGATCGCACCTGAAGACGGCTGGCCGATGGGAGAATGCGCCCGACCCGGAGAGAGTCCAAGCCTTTGTCGGACATTTAAAAAGACAACAGCGCCTATGACAACTGACAACACGCGATTCTGTAGCCAGCGCGCGAGGGAGCCAGCCAGAAACCGGCAGCTGTTCGACCAGCTGAGCGAGCTTCCACCTTCGATTGGCTCTGCCGCCGTCAGGGCTGAATATCACGCATTTGCGAAGCTGGCGCTTTGGTGCCTCCGAAAATCGCAACGGCATATGGTACGAGAAACATATCGATTTATAGAAAATTCGCGTCTTGCCGTTTTTCCTTCTGCATATAATAGAAATGTTGAGAAACGCAAATGATTGAGTATCTAAGTAGTCGTAAGTTTATGTATTGTATCAATAGAGAAGAAGTATGGAGCTGTTTTGAAAGAGTAGCTAATTCTAAAATATAGGCTTTAAATCCGTCATTGTTAACGATATATCATGCAAAGTCGAAACTGCGACGATAAAATCTTGGGAAAGAAATAGATGAAACGAATAGTCTGCAAAAGAGTTGCGAAACGAGGAAATACAATATGACGCTAGATATGACGCTATTTGAGGATTTAATACGATTTTCCAAGAGCAGAAGCCAAGAGAGAAAGAATATATATATTTTTATATATAGAGTAATCATAAAATTTATTTATAATTCGTTTTAATATCTTGGAATTTATAAGATAAAAATAATCTTCAAAATTCTTATAAATTAAGAGAATAATCTTATAAATTCTTAATACAAAAAACACATTATAAATGTCTGTTATTAAATATACATTCAGAATATATCTAGATAAAAAAAAATCAAAAGTTATATACTCTCAAATAGATGAGTTTGTTATAATCTTAAATATTTTGTCAGAAATATTCGAATCATAAATACGAAAAATACATTATAAATACCAAATAGAATATAAAATCAAATTCAAAACCTGTAACTTTTTTTTATATCAAAATACAAATGAATTTTGAGCAGATCACTTATCCTTCTTCCTCAAATTTCGTCATTTTTCGATATAAGGATCCTTGTAAAATCAAAATAAACACACACAGTTCATCAATACGAATAATAATTCTACAAAAATCTATGCAAATGAAGATAAAAACCGCAAATGCTAATAAATAAAATCAGAAGATTATCTCTTAATCGTTTAATCCAAGCACTATTGGAATCAGTATTTTCGGAGGGAAGAGAGGCTGGCAGGAGGGAGCAAAAAAAATCATTATTCTAACGCAACGTATCGACTCCGCGGATCTATATCAAGCACACTCGTCAAAATACATCCCTGGCATCACTCTATGAAGCACCACCCCACCCTTTTCCCTTCCTCTCTCTCCCCACCCCCTCCCATCCATACATCGACATTGTCTTTCCCTTCTACGCTATAACCCTCGCCCTCGCCATTCCTCCGGAGAGAGGGGAAGAGGGAAATTTCCCTTCCACTTCGTTTTTCCCATTCCTAAAAATATTTCCCATCCCTACTTCTCTCCCAGGCAGCTCATTTCTGTCCGACTCCGTTGCGTCTAACTGCCTCCTCTCCTCTCCTCTCGAGCCCCGCTCCCAGAAACTATTCCCCTCCGTTTCACCGTTCTCGGTAACCCCGCCTCTCACCCCCGCACAGCGCCTCGTAATCGGTCGCCTAGCCAGCCAGCCAGCCAACAGTCGAAATCAGCTGACGGCGAGCAGTTGCTACCACGGCTCCTCAAACGCGATACTATTCAGGCGAGTTGATTGCTTCGCAAGTTTTTCCGTACCATCTTCGAAGGTTTTTTTATATATATTTTTTTTATTTGTGTGTGCCTCTTTCTCCATTCTCTCCTTTCCTTCTACTTTAAACGATATGTCGCTTTTCTACTTTCGATGACGGTACATTTAAGAATTGATACATACTTTGACGTAACTGACTAAACGATGACAATGATGACGATGACGATTTTTCTGTGATTATTATATTGTCATTCGCATTTTATCATAGTTTCGGGGATCATCAACGCGCTTGAACCAAATGTGAGAGAGATTTCAGAGAGAGGAAAGGAAAATTACACGAGTGTAAAGTCTAAGCTAGACAAGTCCTGGCGAATGATAATTTTCGTGATTGTGTTGTGCAGTTGATACGTAAATCTCGAAGCTACGCCACAATACGATGGGCGTACGATACGAGAAAGTGAGGGAAATTCGGAAAAGGAAGGAAAATGAGGCATTCACGGGCGAGGGCAAGTGGGACGATAGCGAAATGACGTCGAATTTATTTACTTTCTTTATCGTGTAGCTTGTAGCTGTGCACGATCAGGGCGCGTGCATGCGCGCGCGCGTGATGTGTGTATGCATGCGTATTTGTGTATGTGAGGAAAATTCGAAAACGAGATAAAACAGCAAATTGGAGTATCGGTCATGAAAGAGATAACGACTGAGCCATTTTCACGAATTTTCTGAAAATTATTTTTTTGTCGATGAATCATTTATTTCGATTTTATATAAGGATGATGAAATTCAGGAAGCGAGAAGAATAAGATTACCGTCTGATAAAACAGTGTATTTCTTGTATTTTGATAGGAAAATACGAAGAAAAACAGCCAGAAAAATTGATTAGATCAGCCAATACTTCAAAATGCCTTATCAACCGATTTCCTCATTTTGTTATCGTAAATCTTTTTATATAACTTTCATAATTTTGTATGCGTAGCGAAAAACACAAAGAGAGGCAAGAAACCTATAAAAACATTAAGGACGAGATAACTCTGACTTTAGGACGCCAAGTTGTGATTATTGAAAGAGATGGAGGGGGTGAAAGGAGAGAGATAGTGAAGAGAGGGAGCGAGGAGATGGGAAGGGGAGAAAGTTATATATGAGAGTGTGTCTTTGTTACGTATCTTATAGATGCATTATATCATTCAAAAGAAAGATGAGAATTTTCCATTAAAAATATCCTAATTAAAGACGGAGAGAAAAGCGACTTTAGGGTCGATTACACTTCGTTATACGTTGTTATTGTACGATTCATTTAACTTAATTTCACGTTAATTGTGTTTGCATAATGAACAGAAAAACAGAAGGAGAGATTAACTTTATACTTTAACCTTTTAGATGTTAGTATCGTTGGTCAGGTAATAGCTCGGATTCTAGAATGACGTGAGTCATTCAACCAATTGTTAAATAAGTCAGGATGATACGGCAAGAGAATAAATTATACAATCTATGTATTTTTTTTTTTTTTCGTTTTTACATGCATAATCACTCACACACACAAATGTGATTGTTATTAGAGTTAATGATTATTATCATTTAGAAAATGTCGTCGCAATGCCATGATTCGATATACAGAATGTTCTAAAATGGTTACATTAGCATTTAAAATCGTGTGAAGATTTCAATTAAATTTACATGCCATGTACATTGAAAAAATCTAATTTCTATTTTTAATCTGCTGCCATTAGTTATTGCAAATTTATTATTAATATTTAATTATATTTGTTAGCATTTATTAAATTGTATTTGTTTTATTGCAGTAATTATTTTATTACATGAATTTTCTTGGAGAATTCGAGTATATTAATAATTTTTGAATTGCAATTAACAAAAAATAAACGGTCTTTTCGTAAATTAAACAGAAAACGGAAACATTGATACGTCATAAGAAGCTCATATCAAAGGAACCTTTGAAGCTAATTTTATATTATCTAATTATATCTAAGTACGTATATATCGAATAAATGAAATTGGTTTAAACTTATCACAATAGGCTATTATGTACATTTGTGTATGACAGAGTGTGTATTCAAACTTGAATAAGACTAATAATAAGCCTGAAAGAGGATTTACTCTTAGGACGCACTTGGACTAAGATAAGATCGAGAAAATGAGCGTGTACATTTGTGTCAGTTCGGATATTCGTAATTATATAATTGGCACGTGGTTATGCACCGAGGAAAACTACTGGCTGAGAGAGGACTCGCGTTGCCCTTCTAGCTAGAGAGAAGCAAATTCGAGATCAAGGTCGCCGTGATCACCTCGCTCGCGCGCCCACGAAAACGCGTCGATATTATACAACAGAATGAAAGAGAGAAAGAGAGAGAGGGTGGAAGAGAGAAATAAAGTTAGAGTCAAAATGCAGGGATCCAAGAATCGATTTTAGAATCTAGAAGTCTTGGTATCTAAGAATACGATTTTCCGCCTTGCTTCCTCCTTCCTTTTTTCCAACGCAGTATGGTTGGTTTCTTGAAACAAAGGGATGAGAGAGTTGTTGAAAAATATCACTATTCGAAAAAGAGGCATGAAAACATCAATTTTGAACAAATCGTATAGTATAATGAAATCAACAGTGAAATTTGTGGATAACATTTATTCATATTCTTTATTAAACACTTTATATATATATATATGATCCATGTTCGTGTTTCTCGTAAACTTGCCAATTTAAAAAAATATATTGAGTAACAATATATATCTTGTATATATAATGTCTCTCAAATTAATTTTTCTAGTCATTTTGCATATCAAAGTATTAAGCTGGAATTAAAAAGTAATAATTTATAAGATACTTTGTGATATTTATTTTTTTCTATTTATATTAACTAAAATAATGTAATTTTAAATAATAATTAAAAAATAACTTATTTTTTATAAATAATAAATAAATATTTATTATATATTAAATAATTATTATTTTAATTTAATTATATCTATTTTTTTACACAAATAAAAATATATATGTATATATAAACAATATCAAAATAGAATCTATTGTGTTACAGACATTGGACGATCAGGATGTTGGGTAATTTTGTCGGTTACTTATTCGGGAGTAATTACTCCGGCACGCAAGATTCGCTCGAAGAGGATCCTCGAACTCGAGGGATAATGCGGAGATTCAGGCAAGTGGAGGTCGAGAACGATGAATGGATCCTCATTGACCGAACTGGTATATAATTTATCGTTTTTTTGATAATTTACTTAAAACTATGTATGTAGAGAGAAAAAGAATGAGTGAGAGAAAGACTATTTTATTATAATTTCTAATTTTGATCGGGATATTCCTAGAGATATTTACGTATAGTAAAGAGATAATTACAATAGTGTCTTTCAATTATTTTTCAATCATTCACATGCACTTTATTTGATTTTTTTATAAGTTCGTTAGACAAGAATTAATAAACATTAATAATAGCTTCCGGGATCTTGCTTACGAAGCGAGTTAATCGCCTTTTTATTATTGATTCATGTCTTATCTATGACAGATTTCTCGTTTATGTGTATAATGAAGTGCTTTATGATCTGGAGTTATTTTTGTAATCTTAACTGCGAATGAAATCTGTTGAATGTATATACCTCAACATATTACATCAATCTTTTTCTTTCCGTTTTTCTTTCCCTTGAGTATTATTTTTGAATTCTGAATCCAGTTTCTTTATCCTTTTTATTTTTATACTTTATAGCATCTTGATTATTTTGACTGATTATATGCTTATGCGCTTCCTTTCGTCTTCTTCCAGTTGAGGGTACGCTGGAGGAGCCGTGGTATGAAATGCCACCGGCAGTGTTCACCCAAGAAGGACCCATTAAAGTGGCAACCTCGCCGATGGAGAATCTGCTGATAGAACATCCTAGCATGTCCGTCTACTCCGTCGTGTCGGGAACGTCTCCCCCTGTCACTCCGGACACCCCGCCCCCTTCGCCGGACAGATGGATAGAGGGCCAAAAGGATGTCAATGTCCGGCAAACCATTGCCGTGGCTCAAAACGTCGTCTCGGCGCTATTAGCTGATCTCTCGTTCCCCATGCCCCTCGCGCTTTGTACCGTATCTACGCCTTTGGACAGCAGTAACCTAGCAGTAACTTTAGACCGAAGTAACATCGACGAATTGTCGCGTAGAGTTGTCGCAGAATTACAAGCCATCCACAACGACAGACTGCCCACATCAGATAGCAATAATAACAGAGCTAGAATCGGAAAACAGCTTCGATCCGCTCAAGGACGAGCTCAAGAGGTAAACTTGATATCTTCAAGACTCGTAATTAAAGTTATTTTTTAATTGTTATTGAAAAGCACATTTTATTTTAATTAATATAAATAGAAAAAATAAATATTACAAAGTATCTTATAAACTATTACTTTATTATAATTCCAGCTTAATACTTTGATATGCAAAATGACTAAAAAAATTAATTTGAAAGACATTTTATGTATATACAAGAGATATATTGCTATCCAATATTTTTTTTTTTTTTTTTAAATTGGCAAGTTTACGAGAAACACGAACAGGGAAACATTATATATATATAAAGTGTTTAATAAAGAATATGAATAAATGTTATTCACAAATTTCACTGTTGATTTCATTATACGATTTGTTTCAAATTGATGTTTTAAAGTCGCTTTTGAAGCATTTATAATGTAGATCATTAAATCAAGAAAATTCGCTACTCTTCTCTGCGCAGGTTTTGCAGAAGCGCTCGACTCAGAGCCTGAAAAGAGCCCGTATGGAAAGAAGCAACAAGGTACGCCAGGCAAAAGGCAAACGGCTACGTCGCCAGGACCGTTTGCGCGTTTGCCACAGCGGCGCTAATAACAACCGAAAATGCTAGTCATCCGATCTCAGGTCAATCTGTACTTAAATTTCTTCCTAAAACACGACGACCAACGCTATGACAATTGGGTAATTCAGTGAAGTTTCGCTGCAATGACAGAAGATACTATTTACAAAAATTATCATCGATCAAAGAGTAACATGGTCTTTTACTGTTTTGCAGTATATGCTATGTCTATTTTCTCGTCGATGGTGCAAAATATTAATCTGTTTGATATAAGACAAAGTTTTAGAATGGCTCTCAGATTAGAGTCTGGCCATTACTGGATTTTATACCGAATGCATGCGTGTGTATGTGTATGTATGTGTGTACGGCGATAGTAATTAGTAATAATTGTTGTAGAGTTCACTCTAATCTTTTGATACATCCTGCAAAAATGGCTGATTGTTATACACGTGATTGTAATTCAATGACGCGTCAAACGACTCTCGATGACATTTTTTCGTTAGCGATAAAAAGGGAATATTTCGAGTATATTCAGCCTAATTCTTCGAGCTAAATCAATTAATAAAAGTTGAAAATGGTCAGACTCTCAATCGAGAACTAGACGGCTTGATCTGTCCATTGTTATGTCGCAAGCTGTATAGATCAGATGACAAAGCACTCTGTAAAACTGATAAATGTTTGCAGTTTATTATATATAATTCTCGATTATTTTAACTACTATTTATTTGAATGAAAATATAACATATGTGCCGTAGAAGAAAAAGAATTGCTTGTTACAAAAATGTGAGACAGTTGCGACTTGTAAGAAATGCTGCTGCTCAAAACAATGATCTCAATTTGATTGACCGATCCGGAGTTCATTGTAACGAAATTTTACTCGTTAAATACGTTCTTGTTCGCGCAAGTGTGCGAGGAAGTGTGTACATTTGGTGATTATGATAAAAGATATATGTGACATGTTTAACCCTTTTTAGAAAAAAAAAAGATACGAGTGACATGTTCAACCCTTTCTAAAAAAGATCATAGACACAGTTTAAAGAAAATGTTTGACATTATAAAGTCCTTTCCTCTCTCCCTTTTCACATAAGATTGTTTACATAGAAATCTTTACATAGATTCCTACATATTTTTTTAAATTTTAAGGCAATCCATATATTAATGCAATTATGTTAAAGAATAAAAAAATATATTAATCCCAACTTATTTCTAATAAGAGATATAAAGGAAATCCTTGCCTTAAATCCATTGTCCTTATAAAAAAAAAAAAAAAACACACAAAAAACAAGTAATTTTTAAGCTCCAGTTGGTGATATTGAGTGTTAATAAACCAGTCTCATGAAATAAATTCTTACCAATTTATTTCAATAAAATATATTCTAGAAAAAATGAGAATATATTAATGTACAAAATAATTTTTTAAAATTTGTGGCCTTGTACAATTGACCGAAGCAATACTTGAGAAATGTAACTTCGTCTTGAAAGGGTTAACAGGGTCCTCGAGCAAACAAGTCACAAGGACGTATATCGATATCCATATAATTAAGAGAGATATATCTGATCTGTCCAACGTTTTATTTAATGCTAAATCTCTATTAATTATATAATTATTTATTTGACATAATGTGCATAAGGTGTATGTACACGAACAAAGTCACAAATGGCACGCACGAAACTCTGAAGATTGTTTTGTACCTTCCACAATCTGTCTTTTGGTTCTCAGCAAAACTATTGTTATTATTATTATTATTATTAATATTTTTATTATGTTTGACCGTTTGCGAATGTTGAACTAAATCTGTCTTACAACATCTGATGGTCTTATTACATGCAGTACAAAAAGCTTTATTTTCTACATGATGGGGAGCTAACCATCCTTTAAAATTATCCTCATGCAGCCATGCATTTTGAAAGTCTCTAACTTTCGGTCGTTTAATTGCTCCTTTTCTTTGCGCATGCATTATTTATAAATATACTTATCTACTCACCTTAACCTAGCCTGTCCTTATTGCCGGGCCCGCCAAGACTTTCGCGCCCAAACACTACTCCTCTTATATACACCGCTGCTTCGGCTGCCATCTACCACGCATGCGCGAGAAAACCCGGCCCGAACAACAACACTGGCCACGGCCCTTACTTCCATTACAGCCTTGGTCGAGTACGGATGTGTTCTGACACGTAACGCGTGTGTCCTTTGTTTGAACCTTATTTTTTGGACTTTCTCCTCTTCTAAGAGAATATTTGTTATTGTTAACGCCTTTGTATTCTCATTTAACGCCACTTCTGTATACATTATACGCTAGATTGTGGCCGTATTGACCTTCGTTCGAGGGCAGGAGCCATTCAAGCAAAGAAGAAGAAGAAGAAGAAGCGACAACTAGGTAACTGGGAAACCGCATACGAGAGAAAGACCACGTACCCACTAACCTCAACGACGACAATGATGCCTAGAAAGAATACGGCGGCCGCCGCGTCCTCCGCGACAACCGTCCCGTCCTCCGCGACAATCGTCGCGTCCTCCGCGACAACCGTCCCGTCCTCCGCGACAACCGTCCCGTCCTCCACGACAACCACCGCCTCATCGTCATGGAATATCATGCAATCGCCGCCAAGCACGTTGACGCCGATCGTCGATCGATGGCCAGGCAACCCACTCAATCTCAACGATCGTCCGGCATCTTACATCGAAACGATGAGTTATCTTGAATCGGAGAACTCGAGGTTGAAGCGGGAGGTGCAAACCACCCAGGAAACTTTCACTCGGGAAATGTCCAACATCGAGACCGTACTCTCTAACAAGCGGAAGCTGCTCGACGAGGCGGACACAGAACGCGTCAAGTTCGAGCTCAATATCAAACGCTTGCGGGATGATAACGAAGATCTCAAGAACAAGTAAGTGATACTGTATAGTATTTTTTCACATTGTTTAGGTTCGTAGCCGCTTCCATTGCTTCCTGTTTCATTACATATAGTTATTATAGTTTCCAATGTGCATTGATTGTTTTCTTTCTCGATCATCCAGATTATCGTTAAGTTATTAACGTGTCTAATCGGTAAGCCTGGAGTTTGCGGTACTGGTGGATTTGTTTCTAAAATATTGAGAATATTTTGATATTAAAAAAAGGATCTTTATATTGAACAAAACACAATGCTGGAATTTAGATAATATTTAGCGTAAAATAATATATATATATGTATACATATATATATACACATATATATGTATGTATGTATATAGTATTATAAATGTATACAAAGTGGACTTTATAAAGTATATAAAAACGACGTAATTTTAATTATCGGATTTTGAAAAATTTCTATATCCTGGGATATTTCTAATTTCACGAATTGATTGAGCTCTTGATTTTCTGAGAGATTCTTGGATTCTTATTCTATTGCCTAGATAAAATTACATCCTTGAATGATATTTTCGGATCTGTAAATTGTACACTTTCGGATTTTCAGATCCTTGGGTAATGAATCTATATGGTATTCATTTTTCATGGATCTTTTCTCTTTTTTTTTCTTTGGATTTTTTCACGCGTCCTTGAACGTTATACATGCCAGGATCTTAGGATCCTCTGATTGATGCACTATGAAAAATGTATCGCAATTGTATTATATATATATAATACCGTTTTATAGTTGCCTATTATTAAATAACATATTACAATGGCATAGTGTTCAAAATAAAGGATTCCTCTCGTCTCGAAAAAATTTTTTTAACTCATTGATTTTTTTTCTATACTTATTTATATCAGAAACAAAACAATGCTACCCTATCTATCGATATCCTGAGACAATCTATTTTAGGGCCTAGATTTTTTTTCAAAGGACAATGCATGTAAATATATATATCGTTTTTTAAATTCTTTTATATTTATATCTGCTTTGTATACGAATATAAAATGCACGATTATCTACTGTTCACATAATTTGTGTTATAATTTATTTTTTTAGTTACTTTAAATTTAATTATGTTAATTTTTATCTGTATTTGAATCTATATGTATGATTTGGCTTTCAGTTTATTTACTCAATTTAAAAATTCATGTTAACTTTGATGGTGAGCTCTAAACATATATATAAACTTTTATTATAAATATTTGCCTAAACAAATTGATTTTATATTTATTTTCTTTTTGAGTTATTTTTCAATAAATATTCCAAGTTGCTATTTTTAGCTGCGTTTATTCCATTAACATTTTATTAATATCATATACATTTTATTTTTAATTGTTCATTTGCGAACATGCATAACATTTTGAAGAAGGAATTTTTCGCAGAAACAGTCACGAGATGCACAAACATCTAGATAGGATACACTCGACCGAAAATGCCTAGTAACCCTAAATGCCGGAAGTACTAGTGTACAACCTACTATGAAATCATCTCTGGGACAGAGAGAAGCCTGAGAGAGGCGACCGTTTTTCGAAAGACACTTTTTCTAGCTTATACAGTAGCGTCAACTAGATTCATTTTAGAGCCGGCGGAACTACATGATCAGATTCACTTTTCCACGGTAAAACGGCCGGTTGGTGCACATCCGTGCTAAATACATAATTATGGATCAAAAATACGGAAAAAATATGATATTTTTGCAATGTAATTTATTAATTTATTTTACGAATATTTGATCGCGATACGGAATTCGTAAATATATCAATCTCTAATTGAAAATAAATCATAAAATTCGTACTGATTTACTCGCGATTCTGCAATATCGAGGACAATCGTTAAATTTCATGAGTGGAAAGCTAATATTTAACCGTTAATTTAACATCGAATCTTCACACTCTTATTCGATATTTTTAATACCAAAGAATTGTATATATTTGTAAAATTTGTAAAGTTTGAAATATATATAAAGTAAGTTTGAAATATGTATAAAATATATATAAAGTTTCCCGATTTTATCAATGACTCTTTGATATGAAAACACACACGGTTAAATTTAAGTGTGAGAATATTTTCACGATACATACTTTAGAAACAAATATATATATGTTAATTAAACTAATTTCTATATATTATTTAATTGATTGATTATTCAGTCTTATATCAGTTAAAACAAAGTTTAAGAACAATATCTACAAACAAATTCTACAATATGGATGAGCTATAAGAAGTTGGGATAAGATCGGCGCGCGTTATAAAAATAAGTTACCATCAAAAGTATATAATTGATAAAATTACTAGTGTTCTTTATTCAATAAATCAAATAAAATCTACAAATTGGAAAAAAATGTTTTCCATAATCTTACTTCTTTAATTTAGATTTTAATTTACTTTTGCAATAGATGCAATACATATCAAATGAATTTATTAAAAGTTAATTCAACTTAATCTGTTTTAGCTCATCAATTTAAAAGTAACGGATTTATCTAAAATTTATCTATCTAAAATTTATCAATCTACAATCTACATTTACAATCTCTACAAATCCGTTACTTTAGAATTAAATAAAAGTTTGTCACTCACCGGCACTGATGCGCAACAGCGGAGTTGTTGGTCTTCAGGCTACGTTGTCTGTAACATACAAATATAAAATTCAAATTATAAGAGCGCCTAAAATATAATAAATATTTCAGAAAATTATTATTTTACATGCCAAATTTTATATCCGATGCGTACAATAATAAACAGATACATAAATATGAAACAATTTTATAAATTCTAATAAGACTATTTTTGTTAATAATAAAAAAATTTATCGGATTTATGTCTTTTTTCTAATTTTCTCTTGTTTAATTCATTCAAATAATGAGACCGAATTAATGCGCGTACGCGATCGCAGATTAATAAAATAATTTTATAAATTTTAAAAAGAAAGAATTACTAATAACTTTAATAATTTCATATAAAAACTATAATCTAAAAGTGTCGCCCAAACCTCCTTTTCTTCTCTTGTTCATCTCTCCGTATCCTCGTGGCACTCACACTTACTCGCGAAAACACGATTAATTATATGATTAGCCGTTACGTATACGCATGATAACTACGAGATACTTTGCACGGCACTCCCGATCGCGGAACAATCATACGAGATACTTATAGTTTATTATACCGTAAGACAGAGTAACATACAAGAAGTACGATTGTAGCGAATTATATTTTAATACTTGTCGCGATCGCGTTTAGGAAAGGAATTTGACGGAGCGTCTTCTCCACTACAATACTATTCAAGTATCGCCGTGCGAATAATAACAAGGCCGTAACATGTAAACAATAGCGCGCCATTGTTTACGCCGCAAAGCCGCCTACCATATTATTGATAATTCGTAGCCA